TAGGTTTGATTATAAATTAAAAGAAAAAAAAACAGTATTTGCCCATGGACAATTACATGTCAAAGTGTACGTCAAAGAAGGACATTAAAATAGAATGCAAATTAAAAGAAAAATGTATATAAAATCTTGTTTTCGACAAAGAGTTGGAGTAGTTTACAAGTTATTTTTTCTAGCCAGCTGGTCAAAAATCGAGATGTGCTGATGTTTTTGAGCTTATTTATTTAGAGTTGCATTTTTTACTTATTTACAAAAATAAGCTAATATAAAACTAGCGTGTGGAACCCAACCCCTGGGATCTTTTTTGCGTGGCATTAGTGGGCAATTAAAAAAAGAAAAAAAAACTAGTTTTAAAAAATAGCCTTCAGTTAAAAATATTGTGAAGTATACTAAACCCGCATGACCTGTCAGTGTTGCGTAACTGTTGGTTTTGCGCGCCGTTTTTACAGTTTGTATTTTAAATTAAATTCGAAGTTTTTATGTTCTCTTTAAAGTTATAAATTGATTTTTAAACCTTCTGAAGTATTGGTAAATAAATAGAAAAATGAAGATAATTACAAAAAGCAATATAATACGGGGAAGTTTAACAAAATAGCCTGTAGTTGACAAAATTTTAAAGTAAACTAAGCCCACGTGATCTATCAGTTTTGTTTTAATGTTTTTTGCTTATATTACAATTCCAATAACTTTTTTAGCTAATTTTTTAAAATTAAAAGTTAATTTTTAAACCTTATGAACTATTGTTAAATCAATCTAAAAATGAAGATGATTTCATAAAGCATTTCAATACAGGCGGTGGCTTTCTTTGGATACCAAGTGCGATGGGTAATTTTTTCGCCTTAAATCTTAAATTAATATATTTGATACATGGAATATTTTATTTTTTTTACCACGTCTCAACTTTTTTAATTTTCCACAATTATATTTGTCCAAAAATAAGTTTGTTTAAATATTTTTCGTCTTATCCTTTAGTTCTAAAGGACAATTTTTTTGTGGTAAATGAAGCTACATTAAAGCATAGCTAGTTATGTGAAGTATACTAAACCCGCACGACCTACCAGTATTGCGAAAGTGTTGGTTTTACGCGCCGTTTGACAGTTTTTACTTTTAATGAATGTCATACATAATTAATATTCTTTTACATTACAAATCGAATAATTTTTTGGCTAACTTTAAAGTTATAAGTTAATTTTCAAACCTTCTGAACTATTTTTAAATCAATCTAAAAATGAAGATAATTTCAAAAGGCAATATAATACAAGGAAGTTTAACAAAATAGCCTGAAGTTGACAAAATTGTAAAGTTCACTAAGCCCGCGTGATCTATCAGTTGTTTTTTAATGTTTTTTAATGTTGTTTTAATGTTTTTTGTTTATATTACAATTCCAATAATTTTTTAGCTAATTATTTAAAATTAAAAGTTAATTTTTAAACCTTCTGAACTATTGTTAAATCAATCTAAACATGAAGATGATTTCAAAAAGCATTACAATACAGGGGGTGGCTTTCTTTGGATACCAAATGCCATGGGTAATTTTTTTGCCTTAAATCTTAAAATAATATAGTTGCTACATGGAATTTTTTTTTTTTACCACGTCTCAACTTTTTTAATTCTCCGCAATTATATTTGTTTAAAAATAAGTTTGCTTAAATATTTTTCGGCTTATCCTTCAAATTCTAAAGGACAATTTTTTGTGTTAAATGAAGGTACACTACAGCTGTAAACATGATGATTTGAAAAAGCATTACAATACAGGGATGGGGTGGCTTTCTTTGGATACCAAATGCGATGGGTAATTTTTTCGCCTTAAATCTTAAATTAATATATTTGCTACATGGAATATTTTATTTTTTTACGTCTCAATTTTTTTAATTCTCCACAATTATATTTGTCTAAAAATAAGTTTGCTTAAATATTTTTCGGCTTATTCTTCAATTCTAAAGGACAATTTTTTTGTGTTAAATGAAGCTACACTAAAGCATAGCTAGTTATGTGAAGTATACTAAACCCGCACGACCTACCAGTGTTGCGAAAGTGTTGGTTTTACGCGCCGTTTTTACAGTTTTTATTTTTAATGAATGCCATACATAATTAAATAATTTTTTAGCTAACTCTACAGTTATAAGTTAATTTTTAAATCAATCTAAAAATGAAGATGATTTCAAAAAGCATTTAGTATATGGATGGGGTGGTCTTTCTTTGGATACCAAATGCCATGAGTAATTTTTTCGCCTTAAATCTTAAATTAGTACATTTGATACATGGAATATTTTATTTTTTTACCACGTCTCAACTTTTTCAATTCTCCACAATTATGTTTATCCAAAAATAAGTTGTCTTAAATGTTTTTCGGCTCATCCTTCAATTCTAAAGGCCAAAATATTTTTTTCATGTTAAAATTAGTTTAGTAATTATTAGTATTATTTAAAATTGTTTAATGCCAAAAATTATAACATTCCAGTAATCCTTAGTTATCCGCTCTCTCTAAACCAGCAATTTTGTAAGTATGATCCAGTATATGCATACATACAGATAATATGTAAGTTATCATATTTATATGTCCATATAGTTTTAATAAAAAATTGGAAGGAAAGGGTATAGAACAATGAAATATTAAATTAATTGACAAGGTATTTTACAACATTGAACTAATAAAATATTTAAAAGTTGTGCAAACATAAAATAATTTAATAATAAATACAGATAGCTTGCAGGGATTGAAGCAAGGTCAGGATGTGATCCTCAGGGCTTTCTCTTGAAAAGAGGAGGACTCTTTTTTGCAAAACAAAAATGGTTTTGAAAGAAATTTTACGGTAATGTAAAGATTACAATAATAAATAAGTATTGTGGTAGTAAAATTGTGAAAAAAAGAGGAGTTTGATGCTTGTGATAGACGTCCTAGAAGATAGTTATGCAGCCGAAGAATACTGGAACAGCAACCTGCAAGATCCAAAGCATTTTTGTCCATTTGGAAGTAGCAGAGAAAAGCAGTTTTTAGTACCAACAGAGACCGAAATCCGCCGTGCTGTGCCATGCCATCTTGGTATTCCTCTTCAACCTTAGACCTTTACACTTTGGGCGTGCCATGAACAAATTGTTATAAGATATACACTAGTACAATATATAAAACTCAAGATAAAAAGGTGGGTGATACAATGCCTAGTGGAGATTTTAAGAAATTTAAAAATTTTTGATCAATGCATCTTTATTCAAAAATACCTTGAACATTTCCAATAAACATTTACTATTTTGCTTAGTATGACTATGATAGGAAAAGTTAAGCTAGGAAAAGGATAAAAATGGGAAAGGAACTAAGACAGGAAAAGTTTATAGATTTGCCGACATTTGACGAGCCAACATAAATAAATTATGATGTCGAGGAAATGGAAAATCAAAGCAATGAACTTTTTCAAAGTTATAAAATTGAAAAAGCCACACATGCATACACTACAACAGCTTCACCAATGAAAAGACTGTGTAAATTTGAGGAAAACTTCACCAAGGCACCACAGATTATCCTAGTGTTAAAACATTCATGATCCGTTTTTATAAACTTACAGTTAAATGACTTGACAACAGCCAATTAATTTTGCTAGTTCTTTTGTTTGGACCGATCCAGTCGAGTGTAAAAAAGATGTGGAAAAAAATTATTTAAATTCATTAGTAAGTACTCAAAGTAAGTTATCATCCAGTAAAAATAGCATATGAGTGGGGCCAACCTTGTTGTGGAAAAAATTGCTGTTATAATACTTTATAATTTATTTTTCCAAGTCAAATGGTTACATCACTTGAATGGGAGTTCTCTAATTGTAAGGGGTAGTTGAATTTGTGAAAATGATCTAAATTGACAAAATTTTGGTTAGATAATTAAGACTGTATGTATTATTTGTTATCAAATGTGTTGTGGTTGAAAAATAGCTCAAGTAGAAAACATGAATCTTCTTTGTCTTTGTTGCACTTGAATTGTATAACAAGCACTGAATTTTTAGTTGTAATATTTAATACGTAATACATAATATGTAATATTGTAATAATATTATAATAATGTATGTACATATGACTTCCCAATAAACTGTTTATAGTATTTTTGTTCTTTTTTATTTTTTTTTACTGGTTGACCTTTAAGTCCTTCTGAAGATTCTTTTATAATATTGTTACATTCCTTCATTATTTCAATGAATTTTAAGCTTCAAACACATATGTGAACAGATTTTAAATGTGAGCAAATTCAACGTTAATTTTTTGATTCAGCGTTGTTTAGAAATAATTAGTCAAACAGAAAAAAAAAAAAAATCTGGCAACGTCATGAATTCAAGGGCCACCAATATAATGTGATAAATTAATTTTCCATATATTAGAAGACAATTCAAATGGTATTCACTATTTGAAAGTTATTAAAAGTAGAACCAATTAAATGTTTAACAAATTGATTTCAAAGTATTTAAACACATTAGATCTATTGTTTTGTATCGAGTAACACAAAATAATTGCAGGAAATTTTTTACTTACTTGCTTTTCCATACTTTATTATCCAACTTTATTAAATAAATTACAATTAATTAAGGTTTTTAGTTGAGATAAAAAGTCTATGGCACGAGCGGTCACGAGGTCACGATAGCTAAAGTGGTAGAGCAGTGGCGTATCTAGCTGAAGTTCGTGGGTTCGAATCCCGCTCGTGCCATTAACTTTTTTATCTCAACCAAAAACCTTAATTAATTGTAATATATTAATTGGTCAAGCAGACCACGAAATTAGTGAATTATTAAATAAATTTAAAATTTTATAATTGATTGAACAAGCTAGTCATAAACCACCATCTTTACATTTTAGCTGGCTCTGTAATGTCCATTTAATTAACATTACTTGTTTCTTTCATAGTAGTCAATTTGATATTAATTTAAGGTTTTACAATTGAACTTGTAATTTATGTTTGCAAGTAACTGCATCGTTTCATTGAAAAGTTGTAACTCAAATGCCAATTTTTGTTTTATTAATTGTAACAGGTAGCAAAACGTACGTAAATGGACCTCAGCACAAACAGAAGGAGGTTGTCAGGCTTTGTGAACAACTCGTTTCAAGGATACGACGCCAGGGAACATCTGGAGAAGGGGCATTTCTTCCATTCCCAGTGGAAAAAATTTTCTACCGGAAAAATTGCTGGTTTCCTGCAGGCCACCCATCTCTGGAGTACACGACGGGCTTATCCAACAGTATAAAGGGAGCACGTGTCTGGCCTTCTGTTAGAATGTTTGAACCTCCAAATAATAAAAAAGCTTCAAAACTCCTTACCGAAGGAATTCAATTGAACAAAAATCTACCAGTTATGTTGACTAATGTTGAAAACAGGCCAATAACAGTATGTGAAGAAAAACTAATAGAGAGTGCCCAAAAAAAACTTCAGAACAAGAGTGTGCAGAATAAATTTCAGCCGGAGAGTACACAGAGCAAAGTTCAGGTTGAGAGCTCCGAGAAAGAAATGCAGCCAGAGAACGTGCAATGTACAATTCAACAAGAGAATACACAGAAAAATCTGCAACCAGGGAGCATGCAGAGTAAAGCTCAGCAAGACAGTGCACTGAGGAAAATTAAGCTAGATACTGTGCTGAGGGATATTCTGGCAAAGCTTGCCTTGCTCAAGGAATTACAGTCAGAAAACGAGCAGAGTCAGCAACAGCTAGAGAGCATGCAGAATAAATCTCAGCCAGAAAGCGCGCCAAACAACTGTCAGCCTGAGAGCATGCCTAGAGAATCTGAGCCAGAGACCTTACAGAAAAAAAGGCAAGATTTTCAGTCAGAGATACTGCAGACAAAAGAGCAGCCAGAGAGTATGCTGGGAGAATTTCGAACAGAAAGTGATCAGAGAAAATTTCAGTTTAAGAACTTAAAGGCAAATGATCAGACTGAGAGCTTGCTGAGGGAATTTGAGCCAGAGACTTCACACAAAAAAAGGAAATCAGAGCGTGTGCATCAAGATTTTCAGACAGAGAGATTGCAGACAAAAGAGCAACCAGAGAATGTGCTGAAAGAATTTCAAACAGAAATTGGGGGGAGAAAGTTTCAATTTAAGGACGATCAGTCTGAGAGTATGCAGAGAGAATTTGAGCCAGAGTCCTTCCACAAAAAAAGGCAATCAGAGCATGTGCATCAAGATTTTAAGTCAGAGAGATTGCAGAAAAAAGCGCAGCCAGAGAGTGTGCTGAAAGAATTTAAACCAGAAAGTGATCAGAGAAAATTTCAGTCTAAGAACTTAAAGACAAATGATCAGACTGAGAGCTTGCTGAGGGAATTTGAGCCAAAGACCTTCCACAAAAAAAAGAAATTGGAGCATGTGCATCAAGATTTTCAATCAGAGAGATTGCAGACAAAAGAGCAACCAAAGAATGTGCTGAAAGAATTTCAAACAGAAATTGGGGGGAGAAAGTTTCAATTTAAGGAAGATCAGTCTGAGAGTATGCAAAGGGAATTTCAGCCAGAGACCTTACACAAAAAAAGGAAATCAGAGCGTGTACATCAAGATTTTAAGTCAGAGAGATTGCAGAAAAAAGAGCAGCCAGAGAGTGTGCTGAGAGAATTTCAAACAGAAAGTGGGGGGAGAAAATTTCACTTTAAGAACGATCAGTCTGAGAGTATGCAGAGGGAATTTGAGCCAGAGACTTTACAGAAAAAAACGCAATCGGACCATGTGCAGCAAGATTTTCAGTCAGAGAACTTGCAGACAAAACAACTGCCAGAGAGAGTCAAGGGAGACATGCCACTTGAGAACAATTTTAAATCAGAAAGCTTACAGATAACTGATAAATCAAAGAGCGTGCAGAGGGAATCTCAGTCAGAGTGCACTCAGAAAGAAATCCAAACAGACCAAGTGCAGCAGAGGGAATTTCAGCCACAAAATATATGTATCAATGAGATAACACCTGATATTACTTATTACTCGCAATCAGTATATTTTTTTCCAACTAGTTTCTATCCAGGATATATGCCATGGCACTCAGGAGCTACAAATTTGCATCCACCAGACACAGTTGAATCTAATTCGTCCAATTCAAAACTTGTACCAACCTCTCAATCCATGCAAGAAATGTATTTTTGGCCTTATTATAATGTCAACAAAACAGAGTTTCCTCAATTTGAACATTTAGGGGAAGGAACAAGTGGTTTGTGCAATGATTTTTCATCAAAAGAAAAACATTTTTCTAAATTGCTATCTTCTCTCCAATGTACTACAAGGTTAATTATGCAAGCTCAAGGAAATGTCTATTCAAAAGAAATAATTGAAGACATGAATTCCAACAAGCCAGAATGCGTATACTTATTAATTAATGATATTCTCTGTTTAAAAGATGTTAGGGAAAAATTGCGTGCTGCTCTCCCCGAGTCAATTGAATGTTTAGACTTGTTACAAGCTCTCCATTCAGACAAACATGACTTGTCTCAATTCAAACTTTTCAATTTTCTGAAAAACAATTTCACACCAAGTGCGAAATACTGTAACTTTCTATTGGCCGATCGTTTATTTGAATCTTGTGAAGAGTGCCATCCGAAAAATAAACTAAATTCTGATGATATAGGAAATTCATTAGACACCGAGCCTTCAGAGAGTCAAAATTCTCAAGTAATTAATAGCAATAATGCTGAAGCAAATGATTGGGCTATATTTGCAAAAGACAGCGACAACAAATTTAGAACCTATAATGCTGTAAAAAATAGAACTAGAGAAAAAACTAGTCTACATGAAAGAAAAATTGCAAGTAATGAACAACCCAATCTGCTTTGTAGCACAGAAACATCAAGCAGTTCAAGAATAGAAAATAAGAAACATCATGATGAAAGTGGTTATAATTACGAGAATGATAGAGAACAGGAGAATAGGGACAAACATGATGCATATACGAGCCAATGGGATCCACTTAGAGAAAAAATAAACCGAGAAAAAAATTTACTGTATAAACGTAGGCCTTCTAATTCTACAAAAAAATTATCAACAGAAATTGATCTTAGCAAATACGACAAAAACAATAAAATGTTAAAACACATTAGCAAACCAAATTCTTCAGAAAGTAAACAAGAAGATCTTGAAACTTTAAACAAAGACAATTTTGATTCAATTCAGCAAGTTCCTAGAAAAAATGAAAAAGTATCGAATCATAAGGATAGAAAGGATTTTCCAGCCAGTACAAGTTGGGGTGAGCCATTAAAAACGGATTTTGGTAAAAGCTTTGATACAGTTCCAACTGAAAAATATGTTTCAAGAAAAGAAGGAGAAAATGATTTAAAAGTCAGGGACGAGAGAACAAAAAACCATCAAGTTAATGATAAACTTGTTACAAAAATTCAGTTTACAAACAAAAAAGCTGCTTCTGAGACCTCAAATGAGAGTAGGGCACAAGATGAAATTAAATTAAAAGATGCAACAAATTCTAAAGACAAGGATACTAAAGTGGCCACTGGAATTCATTCAAGTCGATACAAAGACCCTTCAGATTTTAAAAGCCGAATCAGAGCGGAGCAAATAAAAATTAAAGAATTGAACGATATTATTAAAAGGCTTGAGACAAATGATAAAACTGTCGATTCAAAATACCTATTGAAAGGGGCCATGCTTTGTGAAAAAAATACTGAAACCGCCGGTGAAGTTCGAATAGTTGTACGACAAGAGAGTATCGGAGAATTTTGTCATATAATTCATACGACAGGAGCTAGCCACATACCGTATGAACAATCTATTGCACTTTTCAAAAAGCATTTCACTTCATTTGATCGGGCAAAAGAAGTAATGAAGAAAGTTATACATAATTGTAGTGTGTGTTTTAAAAACTGAATTTTGTTTCTTCAGCATTAAGTAAATAATTTACATTTCTTGTGATTTCACATAGTAAGATATTAATTTATCTGTTCAATTTGTTTTAATTTAAAATTATTAGTTGAAATGCATACTAGACAAAAGTACAGTTACCTGAATTAATACGCTTGCAAGATTTACTCATTTGTTTTTCTATGTATAGTTACTTCTTGTGATCTCACAAAGTTTTATTTATTTGTATTCCATTTAAAATACTTTTTGTTTATACTAGTCAATTTACAATACATTTACTAAATTGTTTAAAATAGAGTTTTTATTTTGTGTGTTATGTATTATGCTTAATTTTGCTTGATAAAAGGCAGACAGTGCTGTACTACAAGCCAATTTTGGTTAGTTTCTACAAAACCATCACTTTTCAATTGCAGCATCCACAACATAAAATTATTCTTTGTATACCCACTTGTTCACATTGTCTGTCTTGTCTGTCAACAATTTTCAAGCGAAAATATTTTTTTTAAAGTTTTTATTACAATGTTTTTATAGACAATGTTTTAGAGACATTTATGACTTTTACAATTGTAACGGCTCTAGTCAAGATGTTCTATGAAAATAGAAGTGATATATTTTATGTATCGATTGAATCTTTAAAAAAATTGTGCGCTATGTTTATAAGTGTGTAATTTCTTATTATAGATCGAATCTCAAGAGTTCGATTTAATACTTGAAGAAAAATGAAAAAATGGTGTTCAAATATTCGAACTTGTTTACAAACATTTTGATCAAATTGTATAAATGTGTCTATCAAATAACATTAATTTGTGATCATCTAAGAACTTCAAATCAAAGAAACATTGATTTTCAACTAGTTTTAATGACACAGTAATTGAATCATGTAATATGTTATGTACACTCAAATTAATATTTATTTAATGTAATAAAAATTTATGCTTTATTTTGTACAATTATTTATTTGACTGAGACACACAGCAAGATAGAGAGAAAAGTGAAAGGAGTGAGAGTAAGTAGTTTATAAAAATAAGAGAAAAAAAGAGAATAGAGATACAGAAAAAAGGTATAAAATTGGGAAAGAGCGAATAGAAAAAGAAAGAGAGTGAGAGAAAAAAGTGAAAAGAGTAAGGGTAGGTAATTGATAAAAATACAAAAAGTAAAAAAAAGGAGAGAGTAGAGATATACAAAAAGAAAGGAAAAGTTAGTTACAAAATGATGAAGAGAGAGAGAGAAAAGTGAATGGGTGAGAGTAGATGATTGATAGAAAGCTATAAAGATAAAAAAGAACAAGAGAAAAAAGTGAAAAAAGTAAGGGTAGGTAATTGATAAAAATTCAGAAAGTGAAAAAAGGAGAGAGTAGAGATATAGAAAAAGAAAGGAAAAGTTAGTTACAAAATGATGAAGAGAAAGAGAGAGAGAGGGTGATAGAAAAGTGAGTGGGTGAGAGTAGGTGACTGATAGAAAGCTGTAAAAATAAAAAAGAACGAGAAAAAAGTGAATTAGAAAAAGAAATGGAAAGTGTGTATGTTTGTGTGCATGGGAGAGAGAAAGAGAGAGAGAGAGAGAGAGAGAGAGAGAGAGAGAGAGAGAGAGAAAGGAGTGGGAGTTGATGATTGACAAAAATACAGAAAGCAAAAAAAAAAAAAAAAGGAGTGTAGATAGAAAAAGAAAGGGAAACTGTAGAGAAAGATGAGAGATATATTGTTACGGCCAGTGCCATGGAAAGAAAGAAAAAAATTATAATAAAAAAAAATGTTAAGAAATGTTAATAAAATAAATTTAAGAAAAATTCTAAATTAAAATAAATGACGGGAGAGCTTTATTAGGGACTTACCACCTTCCTTCAGATGACGGCTGCAAGAAGCGTAGGGAGCTTGCCCAATTTCCCTGACCTCGCCGCAGAATATAAGATGATTTCAGGTGGAAGAGATCGATGTAGAAGTGCAGAGGGTTTTCAGAGATTTTGGATCTTTTTTAAATTAATAAAGGAGAGAAACATATGAGATTAAGGCGTAAGGACACTTTCTTTCGTAGGAGTAGAGTACGACTGGGGCTGTAAGGAGCGTGGGAGTTGGATTCTAATCCAAAACAAAGCATATTTCTAAAATAAGATGGCTGGCGTCAACACTATTATTATACTATTCTTTTCCAAACATTTTATAACTTTTATTGTTTAAAAAATGTTGCATCATTCACGGTTGATTAACCTGAAGTTGAATTAGTTTCCATTTTTTGTTTTAATCTATCAATAAAACAAAAATGAGCTTTCACTAATTATTTAGGGCAAAAATTATTTAAAAATCAAAACATATTGTTTTTTGGTCGATATTTGATAGTTAACAGATGAAAGTATCTCGAAAATTCAGTGTGTTAAAACAGTTCCTTACAAATAAAAAGTCCAATTTAATCCGAATTAACTGCGCATTTTATTATTTTATGAGTAAAACGAAAACTTCCTCGGGATTTTTATTCTCAGTTAATTTTTTCATAATACATTGTTTCATATTGCACATGGGCTGGTTCTGCGACTTCGATTCTCGGCTGTACGAATGGTTTAACGCCTCTGAGCACATTCTGGAAGTCGAAAATTATGTCGGATTGTGTCGATGCGAACAGAGCTTGGAGATAGCTGTCGGTCACAAACATCGGCAGCTGGTCAGAGTTATCCTCTAAAAACTTGAGAAAAATTGCCTTTATCCTTTCTTTAAGAATGGGCACATAGTTGAAAATGTCTTCTAGTAGCAGACCTGACTTTTCGGGAATCTAAAAAGCACCAGATTACAATAAGCACTCTTATTTGTACCAACAGGGGGAGAAAGTATCACCTTTTTCCATTTGTTCAACTTAACAGCATAAGCAACTAATTCAACAAATGTCCATTTGCTGTGAGGTAGCTAAAGGCAAAGAGGCAAAAGTTTAAAGATGATTGGAGAATATTGTAGTTTTTATCCTATCTGTAAGTCTTTTAATCGTAAAAGCAAAAATCTGCATATTTATCCAAATTAATATAATAATAATTAAAAAATGGAAATGGGGACAACATACATACAGATTAAATTGATTATATCAGTGTAGTTTACCTTTTTCAAGTATTGTTTGCTAATGTCATCTAGTAATTGTGGGAATCTGTCATGGTATAAGACATAGGCCCAAGGTTGCTTGAAGTATTCATAAAAATCTTGGATAAGTTGGCTGTAATATCTTGCCACAATGTTGTTTAACATCATATCATGCATGCCGTAAACGTTGATCAGATTACGAGCATCAATTGGCTGTAATAAAAAAAAACTCAATGCAAAATTGCTCGATTAAAAAATAAAAATACTCACAATGGAAGAAACGCAGACCATATCTCTGACACAATTAAAACTGTCCATAATAATTCTAAAATAACCGATTTGCTCGGGGTTTTCAATTTGACCTGTTAGCAATATTTTACTCTGCGGAAATTGTTAAAATTAGACGTGAGGATTTTATGAAAAGTGAAATTTACACTGACAAAGTTCTTTTGGGTGCTCAACAGAGTCTGTATCGGCATAAGAGGACCAGGACTCCTTACGAGCAGGCAATATCTCGTGCCAGGGAGCATGCAGTGTGTCACATTGGGCATCTTGAACCTGATCAGGCCCGATGGTGAAAGTCTTGCATATCCTGGCATTTTAATTATCTCTGGTACTCTTGAAGCAAGCTTAAAAAAATGAAATAAAATAAAATACAACAGTAGGGATATCAGTCAGGCTTCTTCAAAGAAATTATCGATTAAAAAAAAAAATGTATGCTGATTTCTGTGAAAGTGAGTATCTAGGGGTTTTATAACACTAAAATCTGACAATTAGGTCATGTTTTGAATGTTTTTCAATTGGAGATTCCGATATCAAATTCTAAAATAGGAAAAATTTTAAAGATAAAAAATCGATAAATAAATTCAAACAAAAATGTATATTTAGGGGTAAAATCATGACCTAGTTTACTTGAAAAATATTTGGGTTTTAGAAATATTTTGATTATTGTTAAACTTTGATAGCTTTTAGTATATTTTTATTGCAATCTACATAAAAAAAAGCCGTAAAATGATATATTCACATTGTTAATTCGAGAAAGTAGAAAGGTGAAATAAAAATATTAAAATATGGAAAATTTTGACTTAAAAAAAAAAATTATGGAACCAAGGCCTAATCATAAGAAGTGCCAGATAAGTGTCCAATGTTCACGAATCTAACAAATTATTTAAAAAAAAAAAAAAAAAAAAAAAAAACGACCCTCCAACCTGAGCGTCCTCTTGTTAGATTGTAATTCTTTATTTAAAATTCAATTTTTTTTTTTAATTAAGTAGTATTTTTATTTTATGCCTGAGTATCACAGTTTTCGGCATAGGAATTATAAATGATGGATTGCATTACCTCAGCACCAACTTCTGTTGAATTGTACCATTCATGATTGAAGCATGGAGCATAGTAAGATCTTGAATATTTTGTCATTGGCCCTGCAGCAAAAATGTACGGATCGTTTGTGTTGAAGTTCTCATCGATGACCAGTTTCCCATCATATACTAAGTGCGCTTTAATTAAAGCTGGAAAATAATTTAATGGTTATTGCAAAAATCAGTAGGGTAATTTTTAACCGGTTACCTAAAACTGTTTTTATATTGACTTGCTTGTCTGAAAAACTGAACATAACAAGGCACTCTAAACTGCTTATGTTGTTTTGTGATTCAAAATAGACTTTTTCTATTTTCCCTGTATCTTTGTTTAGGTCAAAAGAGGAGAAGGTGTACTTTTTATAAACGGTTATTCTAAGGATCTTTAATATCATGCTGATTTCTTTGTAGACCTAGGTAAATACAATTTTCAGTTTGAGCAGTCAGATTGAGGAAATAATCCATTTTTCATAGTTACTGTTGGATCGTTGAACTGGTCAATTGCATGTGGACGAAGAGACTTGGTTTCAACATACACAATCCTGTTTCCTGGGACGCCAAAGGTCAAAAGACCCTCAATACAGCTTAATGCTCCAATATGGCTTCCATATACAATAATTTTACCAACTAAAAATAAAAAATAAAAAATTTTATATTAAATTTTGTATTATATAATAAAAACTAACCAGGAGTGGGATCAAGCGATTTTATATATTCCAAAGATAAGAATGCATCATGAGGGGAGTTCAGTGTGAATAAATTTTCAGGATTTTCACGATCCAATGTTCTCAAAGTTAACTTCCTGGTTGAGAAAATATTTGCAAAATTACACATTTAAAAAAAATAATAATAAAAAAATAAAAAATTACATATCATAAGGTACAGTGCACCGCCTCTCGAAATCTTGAACTTTCTCTAGTTCTGGATTTCCAAATTGTGTGCCACAAAAAAGGAAGAGAAAATCGTACATCAAGAAATAATTATTGTCAATCACCAACTGCTTCATGTCTCTGGATAACAACAAAATAGAATTTGCATAATTTTAATTACAACTTGGGGGAAAAATGAGAGAGGATTAGAAAACATGCTTGATTGTCTTCGTGATGGAGGGAGAAACAGTGTTAACAAAAAACACCTAAATAAAATTAAGTATAAACAGTATTAAATTATATTTACAGTGTCATTATGTTTTTTTCTTTTTATATGAATGTGTTTGCTACAGATAGTGATAGTGTACAAACCTGGTCACCAAGGTGAGCCAGACCTTTAGCACCCCCTTACAATAAAAAAGGACAAAGAAAACACAACTAAGGATTAAGAACATTGGATAGCATGGCAGCAAGGTAGAAAACAAGAAAGGCAAGTCTGTAAATTTAAACCAATAAAAGGCTATTTTATTTTATACATTTTTTTTTGTATGTTTAAAAACAAATAAAATGCACAAAAAATAAATTGTGAACAAATCTTTTTTTTGTACGAAGAGTACTCAAAAGCTCTAATTAAAAATAACCTCTAAAAATAAAGCTCTAAGAACAAGAATATGGCTACTGTACAATTGTCATCCTATGGAAACACCACATAATCACCAGAATATTTGAAGGAGGGAAAAAATTTTCCAGGAAGGTGGGGTTCCATCGGTTCCCAGCAAGTTGGAAAGTTTTTGAATTCCAAATATCTGGAGAGGAACTATCCTTAGTCTGAACTAGTTGTTAAACTTTTTTACGTCACTTGAAGAAAATGGTGTACAAAACCCAAATTCCCAAATATTGAACTAAAATTAAGTATATCAATTGAATGCCAATTAATCACACCTGACCAAAATATAAAATAAAAGTTACAATTAATTAAGGTTTTTAGTTGATGAAAAAAAGTTAATGGCACGAGTGGGATTTGAACCCACGATCTTTGGCTAGATACACCGCTGCTCCACCACTTGAGCTATCGTGACCTCGATCCACTCGAACACTAACTTCCTATCTCAACCCCACCTGATGAGTTTTCCTTTTTTTCATCTCAACTAAAAACCTTAATTAATTGTAAAATATTAATTGGTCAAGCGGACCACGAAATTAGTGAATTTAATAAAATAAAAGGTAGGAATTTCAAGACCTAATTGACATTTGGCACATGCAGAATGGGCTGCAGTTTAAGTATCTTCAAAAAAAGTCAAAGGTAATAATTTTTCTTATTATTAAGTATATAATTAATTAATTATATGTTTTAAATTAACAAGATATTTTTTTAGGGGAAGAATTTAAGTTATTATTTTTCCTGTTTTTAATAAATATATTTTAATTTGATCAGTGTTGTCAGTTTTTAATCCCAAAACACTAAAATTTAAACACAGCAATGACAACAGCAAGAAAGTAATCGAATATCTGAAGCAAATAAATGCATATGGTCGCCTTTAATGTTTCTCCACACGTGGTTTCATTTTCCCTTCCTAAAGTGAGTGTATTTATTGGCGAGAATGTGTGTGTATGGGTGGGTAGTGGTCGGAATATCGAGTACACCACAGACCCACCAAACTAGGATAGATATCTCTTTGCGTGTTTTGGGTAGAATGAATGTATTTATTGTGGCAAAAGTGAGTGTGTATGGGTGGGTTGTGCAGGAGTATCGAGTACTTAACAGACCCACTGATTCAGTTAGTATTAGGCTATATCTTTTAGAGTGAATGGGCGGAGGCACTGTTGTAATATTAAATGCGCCAGTGGCTCCACATTTTTTTTATTTGTAAATATAGAATGATTGATTACTGTTTGAGTGAATGTATTTATTAGTGTGATAGTAGTGTATGCTTGGGTGAGTCTATGGTGGAATATCAAGTACCCCATAAACCCACCAACCTAGGTTAATATTTTAGATTAATTATAATTTTAATTGTACATAATGTATGGATGTATTTATTAGCATGAACGAGGGTGGGTCAGAGAATGAAATAGTTTCAGAGCCTTTTCACCTTGTGTAGGAGGGATAAAAATGTAGAAATAACATCCCAGAACACAACCAGAAAGATTGCCAGACTTCCTACAGAAAAGCTAACTTCAAAAAAATAAAATAAATAAATAAAATATATAAATAAATAAATTTTTAAAACATGAGGTGGAAGAAATGTGAGGCGCCGGCAATAACCCAGGCAGCTAACCAGCCGGAAAAAAAAAATTACTAAGTTTATATAGCACATATACAACAAATAAAAATCTAATTACATCTTGGTTTATTATTCTAAGTTCTTTGAAGTTTATAAGTATCAAATTAATTTTTTTAGTAATTCACTAATTTCGTGGTCCGCTTGACCAATTAATATTTTACAATCAATTAAGGTTTTTAGTCGAGATAAAAAAAGTCAATGGCACGAGTGGGATTCGAACCCACGATCTTCGGCTTGATACGCTGAAAAAATGCAAAAAGGAGGGAAAATTCAAAAGGTGTGGTTGAGATGGGAAGTTGGTGTCTGAGTGGATCAAGGTCACGATAGCTCAAGTGGTAGAGCAGCGGCTTATTTAGCCGAAGATCGTGGGTTCGAATCCCACTCGTGCCATTGACTTTTTTATCTCAACTAAAAACCTTAATTAATTGGTCAAGCGGACCATGAAATTAGTGAAATTGATATCTCGCTATCTCGGCTAAAAACCTTTTTTTAGTAATGTTAAAACAATTTGAAAGATTACCTGTCCACTGCAGTCACCGTCCCATCCACAATCCTTATCAAGTTTTCCAGGCCAAGCTTACTTATGTATTTCAAATTGTATTTCCCATTTTTAGGCATCATTGTTTCAATTATTTGTTGATATTTATACTTGCGAGGGAATCTATGCATTGTCACTAATGTTATATTCACAGCCGCTACATACGGTGTGTTTTGCCTTAAAAAGTTTTGATGATAATAACAAATTTATTGTTTTATAAAGTTACAAATGTTTTTTTTTTACTGAAATATAAGATTTTCAATAAAAGATAATCCAGTTTCACTTGCACCAACAACAACTATATGAGAATCGTTAAAACTCCTGTTCAGGCTAGAAAGTCTATAATTTGTATAATAAAGTGCAAAGGGCGGATAATCATTTGCCATTAAAAATGCAGGCTGGTTCTGCCGAAGGCTCGGACTGTATATCGGTACCAGCCTTGGCCGGACTGGCATCCAAAATTTGATACCGCTTAATGGTGTAAAATCTTCAAACTGTAAAAATTCAGGTTCAATACATTTTCTACCAGTTTTTGAACCAGGTTTACTCACCTTGGATGCGATGTGTGTGGGGTACACAGTGTGATAGAGAGAAGTGAAACCGCTCATATGCATGATCCCCCTTAAAAAAAATCGAGTGTACCTTTGGAAGAGTTTGCTGACCATGAAATGTTTAACATATCCATGGTTTGGAATGCAGTGCAATTTGAATTTCATGTATTTCTCCAAATCGAAATGAAATTTTAAATAGTCTGGATTTTTTTCTGGGCTGAAAGTAACGGTAAGATTTAATTTTGTCATTCGCCCATTACTCGATCGACTCACCAAACTATTGCAAATCCAATAATTATTCCGTACACGAGCAAAACGTAACATTTCAACTCATCTTGGTTTTCAATCAAAGCTCTTAAAATCTCTCTTTGGTACACTAAATTATTTACCATTGCTGTTACAATAGCTAATAAATCTTCATAGTCAGCTACTACGGCTGGTCTTACAGAATATCTCCTATATAATTAATTATTATTATTAATTTAATTAATTATATNCAATATTCTTAAATAAACACTATATGTATATATATATAAAAGATTATTAGCAACAAACAAAAATCCTACAAGCATGTGATGTGCAAAATCCGGTTTTTCTTGACCCCGCTTAATTGCGATCAATGCATAATCATACTTTTCCAAATCTTTAAATATATCTTGTAGCAAGTTCAAAGATTCCCTTTAAAAACAAAAACGAATTAATTTTAAAGCATAATTATTACTGAGTACCACTTACGATGGACTCATGTTTCCAGTCATAAGGAAATCAATAAGGAAAGCATTCACAGCGCCAAAGTAAAATTCAGACTTGGGAGGAGGTTGTGCGTTTTCCAAAGTGTTCAGAATAACAGAAGAGGGCATTGCCACTGAAAATCACATTTATAAATATCTCTGTTTAACGTTTTGTACGTATGGTTCATCGTACTGCACAAGTTTCTATAGCTGGTAAGCTCCATCATTGTATAGTCGTCAAACGGCACTTTCATTTCTGACCCTTCAGACTCCTCCTCGTCCAAATCAGCATCATGCATCAAAAGAGTCGACCAGACGATACCTACAATTGGATTTAAATTATTATATATTTTAAACGGATGTAAAAAAATCTAACCATCCATGACTGCTGCATCTTGAGAAGCAGTGACTTTCAGTTTTGCAGTCTGTTCATCCGATTCACTCCTCGCAGGGCTGGAAAAAAGACACGGATAAACTCATTCCTTTTAAAACCAATTTGCCCACATACACAGCTAATGAAAATTCGGATCCTGATTTAGTGTAGTATCTTTTTCCTGATTTCTTTTTCCAAATAGCATCGGCATTGGTCATCTTTTGAAACCCGCTGTAAGCACTCGTGTGAAACATTTTTTGTAGAACTTCTGTATTCACATTGGTGTTGACACAAGCGACAGCTAGAAGGCCAGCACCTTCCTAAAGGCACAATTAGTCATTATACCAGTTTTGAGTACTTCAATATGATATTAACCTTAGCAACATACATCCTCCTATCGGTATCAAAACCTATTATATCCTGTGCTAACTTTTTTCCATAAAATTTTATCAACTCGGGTTCTTCGTGTTCAATAGTTTCTACTATCCGATCATTATCTTCATTTCTAAATTTGAATAGTGTTTTATTAGAATGATTTATAATCAGTGTAGAATGTTTTACCTGGCTTGGCGAAATCTATGCATTGCCAGGCATGATCTTCTTGGCACCCAGTAGATAAATGAAGGCAGGGAGGTGTTGTCTAACGCATGAACCAAAGGTATGGTTTCAAAATAAATGTCCCAGTTAGGATCTAAAATGGTTTTGTCTTCATTGATTCTTTGCTAATAATTTTATCATTCAAGTAGTACGACAATTTGAAATTTACAAACCCAATTGGACATGTGGTAAAGTCATTAAAACCAGTTTTTTAATTCGGGGATGAAGATAAAATATCGAAGTGAAAAGACATCCAAATATTATATTTATGTACTTTTCCTTGTACAATATGAGGTGGACAAAGAGTGAATTCGACGTGTTGAATTTTGTTAATCTGAAAAATTCCAGGATAAAACGTCAATTGAACTTTTTTAGTATAGTCGTTACCTGAATTTTGTGAACATCCATTCCTCCCATTCTGTCTTGCTTATTGAGCTAAACTGAGGATAATCATTAACACAAATAGCTCCCAAGATTTCTTTCCGATAGTTCACTATGCAAAGGAAAAGGTAGGAATGCTCTCTGTGAAAGCAACAAATAGAAAAATCTGTACATTTAATGTGTGGTGATTAGTGACCGTTAATCGATATTTATTTAGAAATTGTGAGATGCGGTTTGGTGTAATATGGTCCAAAATGTAACTGTAATATGTAAACAATGTTTGTAAATTCCAGGTCCTGAAGATGATCTCTCAATAAAGATCGAAACGTTGGCACGATAAAGAAAATGTTTTTCTGAAAGCTACATCACACCAGACCGCATCTCACGATTTCTAAATAAATGTACATTAATAATTTGTATGTCTTCTTAAATATTGTCCCCTCATTACTTTATTTTTAACTAATTACAAACTTTTTTGCATATTATTCTGTTTGCCAAAAAATTACATGTTACAATAGATTTACTGGAATATAAACGATAAAATGAGAAATTTGAAATTTAAAAAAAATGTAAAATTAAACAAGGAAATATATGCATAAATAATATATTTCGATTTTCCCCATATTATAAACATGTACCTACATAGTATTCAACTTACAAATTAATTACTAATTTAAAATTAATTTTCTTACAGTATGTATTAGGATATTTAGTTGTGTTCTAATTCACATTAACAAAAAAAAAAAAAAAAAAAAAAAAAAAAAAAAAAAAAAAAAAAAAAAAAAAAAAGAGTGGGTAAAGAATCATCAATCTTTTAAAGAAATATATTTACTGCTTAAGTTTTTCAAGTTTCATTAAGAAGATTTAACTCCTGGTTTCCCATTTTCAATCAGTATACAGAAAAAGGCTTTTATATATTTTTTTTTCCTTGAACTAGTGTACATCTAGCCAGCGACATTCATTGCTTTCATTGCTTGATGCCACCGGTCCCCTGAGACCAGCCAGGAAGGACACCTGGGCTCTCCATTTGTAAAGGGGAAATTCTCAACATTAACAGACTGTTTCCGAGGAGGTGGATAAAAACCTTACATGGTAAAGCTACCATTGGAAAAGTCCAACACCATCACACAGTCCAGAGCATAACGTGCCCTGAGAGTGCAGAGATGTCCCCCAACGGTCCCTAGCCGAACCGTCCCCCCCCCAGCCTCCACCATGCCTCAAGGATGGTTATATATCTTAAATATCTATGTCGTTATCGGTGATGAATTTGTATATGGTATCTAGTTTCAATGCGGTTTGTGTAGTTTAGTATTATGTTTAATGAGTTGGGGAGAGGGATTTTATATTTCTTGAGCGCTTTACAAATATATTCTCTTCTGGTAGTCTTCAGCAGGCATCCCAGTATGATGTGGTTTGCGACTGCCGTTGAGGTATCATCGCATGAGCATTTGCTTGTTTGTACTAATTCCTATCTCATGCAGGTGCGATGGGAGTCTATTGTGGTTGAACCTCAGTCTACATATAGTGGTAAAGAATTTTCTATTTCTTTTGACGTTTGAAAACCACAGTTTAGACTGGATGTTTGGTTGGTAGGCAGAGTACCAGATGCCTTTGCTTTTGGATGATTGTTCATACTCGCTTTGCCATTTCTTGCGTACTAAGACTCTATTATGTGATACAATGTCCCAGGCTGAGATCTCTTTGATGTCGTTTCCTGATAGAGCAGCATCCTTTGCCAATGTATCAACCCGCTGGTTAAACCAGTTGCTGTTATGGCCTTTGACCCAAAGAAGATGAATAGCTATACCACTTCTGCAGGTTAACAAAATGGTTTTGATCTCTAGGATAATGGGATCTTCAGGAGCATCTGTTTTCTTCAAAGCTGTCAGAACATTTAGGCTGTCTGGACAAATTATGGTCTTGGCTGGTTTTGTTTGTTTAATGTATTTTATAGCTTCCCTTATGGCTATAGCTTCAGTGGAGAAGATCATGGGAGTTTAAACTGCCTGGAATAGTCATTATTTGTATTAAGTATTGCGGCCCCCACCCCATATTGGGATTTTGAGCCATCTGTATAAACTACCATAGCCAGCGGGCTTCTACCAGTCTCAAAACAGACCTTAATGAGTCGTGTTCACCTTTCAATTCCTGTAGGCACGTTATAACCTTAAGTGCAAAGAGTGGAATAAGCCAGTGGAGTTTTGTGTTTGACGAGCGGATGATTTTTCCCAGAGAGATGCTTTTCATTTTAATATGAGTTTCAAGTAGAGGGGGCGAGTTTCAAGGTGGTTTGTAGGGTTCACTAAGGGCTGTGACAGCCAAAGCATTCAGTCCCATAATATAAATTATGACAATTAATTAAGGTTTTTAGTTGAGATGAAAAAAAGTTAATGGCACAAGAGGGATTCGAACCCACGACCTTTGGCTAGATACGCCGAATTTTTCAAAAAATGGCAAAAGGAGGGAAAACTCATAAGGTGGGGTTGATATGGGGAGTTGTTGTCTGAGTGGATCGAGGTCACAATAGCTCAAGTGGTAGAGCAGCGGCGTATCTAGCCGAAGGTCGTGGGTTTGAATCCCTCTCGTGCCATTAACTTTTTTTTATCTCAACTAAAAACCTTAATTAATTGACATGTATTAATTGGTCAAGCGGACCACGAAAGTAGTGAATTAATATAAATTATTTTGCATAACACAAATACACAATCATATGAAAACTCTGTGAAAAAAAGTAAAATGTGTCATTTTCACCCATTATTTCTAAAAGTAAGGCAACAATAAATTTTATCTTTTGTTGTGTGTATGAGTCTTAATTATTTTTATGCACTATTGGATTTTTAAACATGTTATTCATGCTTACATTATTTAATATTAAAAATATTATGAAACAATTTTTGACACATTTTAATTTTACATCTGTGCAAAATGTTTCATATGATTTATTTTCACTTATAGATTTTTTAGCTGATCGCCAAATATTTTTAGATGTAAAAATTCAATGTTAAAAAATCCCAATATTTCGTACAGACAAAAGACTTAAAATAGCAAAATTAAATATGCACATCATTGCAGGTAAATCTATTGGTCCAAAGATCTCTTCTGTCGATTTGGTCATGAGCTTCTGAAGCTGGCACAGGTCATTATGCTCAACACGTCGCCATTGGTTCAGAAAGTTTTCCAAAACGTTTTCATCACGCCAATCAACTGCGGTCTGTAAGCATCGATCCAATTTTAAACATTTTTTTATACTTTTAATGAAAGTTTCATGTGCGTTTTACCTGTATCTCTGTCTGTGTCCCATTTTCAGCCATTGTTTTCTGCTCGACTGGCAAGACCTGTAAAAAGAGAAAATCGTACATCGAAAATCTGCGAAGTCGCGAGTGCGACAATTCTTTACCTTCACTTCCTTCGATCTGAATTGTTCGCACAGACATCGTTTCTCGCATATGCACCAACGTCCTTTGCACATCTCTTTCAGATTTTTTTTCATTTTGATAAATTAACAAAATTCGCTTGAAACTAAATTGACTACAGTGACAAAATTAACAACAGGTTAAGAAAACAACAAACACCAACACATGATTCATATACATATTTTTGTGCAAGTGGTATGTTAATTTTATATTATATTCAGATTTAAACATTTATTAATAATTATGTTTCTTGTTCTATAGGACACTCAGCAAGAGGAGAATGAAAAATTGTTGAAATCTTGATTTTTTTTAAACTTGATTAAGTGAATAAAATGCAAATAAAAGATAAAAATTCAAATATGGATGGAATGGGATTTTTCACCAATTATGGAAATATTTAATTGAAAAAGAAAAAGTAGCAAAACTATTCAATCTGTCTAAATGATGTGCACTTACATTTTCTGACAATAAAAATTATTTACCAAATTGTTCTAATTGTTTCTATTATTTTCTTAACATGTTCTATTGCACTAAAAATTATAGCCATTCTTAAAAAGATTGGTTTATTCTGACTAAATAATTGTTGTAAATAAACGTACATTTTTATTTATAATAAAAGTCTAAAGTGTCATAAAATTAAGAAGATACGGTGATACAGATCGTACAAGTAGACTGCGGATTTTTATGCACTACAAACTTGATTTATGCCATATAATATGCTGTTAAAGCATCCAAAATATTATAATTGATAACAAGTCTGATATTTTTTTTGACCATCTCCTTTTTTGACAAGAAGCAGAGTGTTTGTAAAATGTGACAATGAGTACAATTGAATCTTTCAGAAGATGGTAGCCCCTAGATTTAAAATCTGCTACTGCTCAGGCCCTGAGCAATAATCTGATTTGGGAGAGTAAGACAAAGCCTCATGGCCTATTATAGTTAAAATATTTGTGAATAGTAAAATGTAAATCTTATTATATAAATAGGTTTATAAGAGTGGGAATGTTTATTTATTCTATGCATATTATTGTAAAACTAATGATTGATCTAATTGGACCAGTTTTAATAAATAAAGTAAAACAAAAATTAAAAAGAAAAATCTGGGTTATTTTGGGTTGAAATGATTATTGTCGTGTCCGAGTAAATTGCTTTTCAAGAGGATTATTAACATACTTATTCAAAAATCGTGAGATACGGTCTGGTATGATGTAGGTTTCAGAAAAACATTTTCTTTATCGTGCCAACGTTTCAATCTTTATTGAGATCACCTTCAGGGCCTGGGATTTACAAACATTGTTTACATTTAGCAAATACATACAGGATGAGGAAAAAAGTGAATTTATACAATGCAAAAAATATTTTTTATATTCAATCAAAGTATTTCTACTCATTTTGATTGGATATAAAAAAATATATTTTTTCATTGTATAAAACAAAATAGTTGAGCTAATGACCATTATCAAATAATTACTTATCTATTTCTTTCCACTATTTGTGAGCTCACTTTCTTGGATTGAAAATTTATATCTAATTTTATTTTATGATTTTCACCCACAGCCATTCTCTTTACAAGGGGTTGTGCACATTATTTTGCTTAAAAATAATAAATTGTATTAATATTTTTTAATAAATATTGTCGAAATGAGCCTTATTTTAAATTGTGCATTCTGATGGACATCATTAATTATATACGTTTTTCTTTAAAAATTGACAGTTAAAAATCATTAAAATGAAACTAAATGACAAAAATACAGTTAGTTGCATTAGTGGGTTTTCCAGTTTCTAAATTTTTATGATTTTCCTTTTAGTAGAATGATAATCATGTTTTGCTTGATATAGCTAATTTTATTTTATGATTTTCAATAAATTTCAAAAGAATAAATTGTAGTAATATTTTTAGTAAATATTGTCCAGTTGAGCCTTTTTTTAATTGTGCATTCTGATGGACATCATGAATTACATACGTTTTTCTTTAAAAATTGACAGTTAAAAATCATTAAAATGAAATTAAATGACAAAAATACCGTTAGTTGCATTAGTGGGTTTTTCAGTTTCTAAATTGTTGTGATTTTTCTTTTAGTAGATGATAATCATGTTTTGCTTGATATAGCTAATTTTATTTTATGATTTTCACCCACAATCATTTTCATAGAAGGGGTTGTGCACATTGTTTTGCTTAAAAATAACAAACTGTATTGATATTTCTCCAGATAAGCCTTTTTTTAAATTGTGCATTAGAATGTAACAATGATTAATAATATATGTCTATCTTCAAAACCAACAGTTAAAAATCATTAAAATGAAACTAAATGACAAAAATAAATAAAAAATTCAAAGCTTTAGTAAATAAATATTGTACAAATGGGCTTTTTTTTTTATTGTGCATTCTGATGCTCAATGATTAATAATATATGTTTATCTCAAAAACTAGCAGTTAAAAATCATTAAAATGAAAATATAAAAATAAAATGAGTGGGTTTTTCGGTTTCTAAATTTTTGTGATTTTTGCTTCAGTGGAATAATGATCATGTTTTGCTTGATATAGATAATTTTATTTTATGATTTTCACCATAACCATTCTCTTTACAAGAGAATGGCTGTGGACATTATTTTGCTTAAAAATAAATACATTGTATTAATATTNTTTAGTAAATATTGTACAAATGAGCCTTTTTTTTAAATTGTGCATTCTTATGGACATCATTAATTAAATATGTTTTTTTTTTTAAATTGACAGTTAAAAATCATTAAAATGAAATTAAATGATAAAAAAAATTAGTTGCTTTAGCGGGTTTTCCAGTTTCTTAATTTTTGTGATTTTTCTTTTAGTAGAACGATAGTCGTGTTTTGCTAATTTTATTTTATAATTTTCACCCACAACCATTCTCTTTATAAGGGAATGGGCAAAATGATTTTTATTCCAACGCCGAGAGGGTGCACAGTTCGCCCGCTCGATACCCGAGTAACAAGGGTGGAAAAGGGGTGCAATTTTCCGGGGGGAAATGAAAGAGGACCTCGAGTACAACGTGCGCTTTGTCAAATCCGTCGAAAGGCAGAGATGCATTTACGATTTCACGCTCGCCGATTATTCGAACAAAGAGAAGCAAGAGGAGGCGTGGATGAACATCTCAAAGGAAATGGGCTCACCCGGTATGACGATCAATAAAATTCAGACCAAAACACTTCCCGACACCCTCTCCACAACCCACGGGCTATTTTAAACTTCATCCGCGGATCATTCGAAAAAGAAAGACGGACAAAAGGTATTTATAACTGTTATGAGTTGAAAAAGTGAGGCCAGTTTTACTTTTATGGTAGGTTTATTATTAATTTTCACACCCTCATAGTTCCATCAACTCACCCTTAAAACTACACTCTATAAATTTTCCTAGCATTATAAAATGTTAAAATTCTAATTCTTAGGAAAGTAAGGAATTTTAACGCCCAAAATGTCGAAAATCAACATTCTCCTGTCTTCATAGTATAACGAGTTTTTAATTTTAAATTAACTCTTAAAAGTTAAACGTGTATCCAATATTAAACTTGCAAACATAAAATATTATAATTATTATTTGAACTGCCGGAAATGCAAGGTTCTTCTTTTTCCCACCGACTTTTATTTCTTGAATGAAGCGTCCGACGAGAAATAAACAATCGTCGTTTATTTATCCTTTATTTCCTATTACATAAACTCTGGACGGTTTTTAGTTCATTATTGGACTATTGATTCTAAAGTTAAAACAGTTTTTTAATACGAAAATTTTACCCGAAACTACCGCCATAAAACTAATTCAAATATCGTTAAGCGTTGACTAAAGGAACCATTTGTAGAAGGAAAATAAAAGTTTAAATTTTAAAAAGACCGAGTTATTTAGATGTCAATACTACAACATAGCCACAGAATGAAAGAAAGTGAGAGAAAGAGAGAGAGAGAGAGAGAGAGAGAGAGAGAGAGAGTGAGAGAGACCTGTAGAGATATGCACAAAATAATTATGATTGGTTGACCTAAACCAGCGTGGAACTTTAATTTCTTAGCTTTTCACACTATCTGGTGCACCTTATGATTCTGGTCCCATAAGTGAGAAGGATGCCTTATTTTTCGGCTGTTTGGTCAGCCTTTTCATTTCCTTTTATACCCTCGTCCCAGAACCCACCTTAAGATAAACTTATTTTTCTTAGGGCCATCAGGCAGCTTAAGTTCTCCTAAGCTAGTTTGAAGCTAAAAATATTATCCAAAAGTAAATCCGTGCACTTTTCATTTTCTTTTATACCCTCATGTCCCAGAACCCACCTTAAGATAAACTTTTTCTAGGGCCTTTTTTTTCTAGGGCCTCATGTACTCCAAAGCTAGTTTGAAGCTAAAAGCATATGTATTATCTAAAAGTAAATCCGTGCACCTTTCATTTTCTTCTTTATTGTGTTCATTTTATTGTTATTTATCTTTATTATCTCAGCTTGGAAGATAGTTGGAATGCAGGGTGTATTTGGACCGTTTACGTATTCCTTATTCCTTCTTTGACCCATCAGTGTACCATACTAAAGCCCCTTCCTAAAAGTTGCTTTTTTCCAAAGAACTTCATTTTTGATGACCATTTGGAATGATCTGTCATAGTTGAATTTTCCTCTCATTTAAACACTAAAAGTTAGTCAATTAAATCTTATTTTTATTTATTCATTTTATGTGAGTATATTTTGGCTGGAAATAAATGTTTAGGGACATTTTCATTGCAGGAAATTCTGCACTAATCTAAACTGGGGGCCACAGTGGCCGAGTGGTTAAGGCGTCAGACTCTCGGCTAGTAGATCCCGTGGTCATGGGTTCGATCCCTACCGTTGCCTCTGGACTTTTTCTGACGCCTAAGGGTCCCTGTGGCCGCAATTGAAAGAAATTGACATGGCACTCATCAATGGAAGTAGTGAGATCAGATCTCAGCGACCCTGAATTTGGTCCCAACCCCCTTCAAAAATGAGTTTCTTTGATGTAAGAACACCGGCACACCGGGGGCTCAAATTCACACTTGTGTTGCAAGCCCCCAAAGTACAATAAGCTGTACAGCTGCAGTGCTCAGGAGGGAACTCCTGGTATAAAAGAGTATTTAAAGTACTTGCTCAGGTCAGGATAGTCAGTCAGGTATTGTTCTACTAAAAATTTTCTAACGGCTTTTCGTTTTATATGGTTTTATTTTCTAAGGTTCTCGATGATGCGATAGAATAGGGCGATTGTTAATGGTACACAGAAAAATGGGAGGTAAGGAATGGAGGAGGGAACTGGATCCAAACAGTTAAGCCCATTTCTACATGCAGTTTTCTGACTATCTATTAAAAAATAAAATGGGTATAAACCATATTAAATTGAAATCATTAATGCCAGACATTAAATGTTAACCTGATCATATGTCCAGCAGATTTAAAAAGAATGTTTACCAATGCAATAAAAAATGATTGGAAAATGTACTGGACCAGAAGAAATACATCAAATTTAAAAAATATATGTCTCTGGGCTGCAGAAAAAAAGGACTTACTTACCAGGTTGTGCATAAGTCATACCAAGGTTACACACTGATGGGGCTGTTAGGAGAAATTATCTCAGTAGATTCACTAATTTCGTGGTCCGCTTGACCAATTAATATATTACAATTAATTAAGGTTTTTAGTTGAGATAAAAAAGTCAATGGCACGAGCGGGANTGATGGATGCATGTTCTTGGGGGATAGCAGCAGGCACAGATTGCTGATCCGATGTCTCTGGTCCATAACTGTTTTTAACTTTGCTGTGTATAGATCTTTGTTCCTTTATGCTTAGGGTTATTTATTGGAATGAATGTATTTATTTGTGTCAATGGAAAATACTCAATCTCGGCATAACCCATGTCTTTTTCATAGATCATAATATGAAAAAAAAACAGTATTGTAAAATCGTCTGATTCCTCGTCCACGACACCCAATGACTAATTGGACATAGGCCCTCCTGTATGACAGGAATTATTTTGTCTTAATATAAAAAATATTATAAGTAATTAACAAATATATATTCTTCATAAATAAAATTATCATTATTAAATTTTGCGTTTATTTATTTGAATGAATCCATGGAATTGTACAGGGGTTTTCAGAATTACAATATTCATTAAAATAATTTTTTTCGATATATTGTTAATAATAATAATAGAAAACATTTTTTTCCCAGTTGGTGATTGCAAAGAGCGTTGGAGAAATTTAAGAGGGGGCTTGACAAGGCACTTGAAACTTGAATCTAAGAAAAATATCAGAAGAAGAAAACCTTACTATTTGACCGAGTATATGCAGTTTATTGTTCCGTTCACTAAGACACGCTCCCGAGCCGTTCTTCCACTAATACAAAACAACCTGGATCCAGACGACGTTTTTGTTAGTGACAAAGTCGAAGAAGAGGAAGAGGAGGAGGACGAAGGTTTGGAACTGATGCAGCCCCCGGCCATTGTACCAGCAGGGAAAAGATCCGGTTCACCTGATGGTGAGTCGTCTGAGTCTTTTTTCAAGTTCAAGAGGCCCAGGGAAGATTCTGACAGCGACCCGGATATGAATTTCTTCATCAGCCTCCTCCCTGATGTACGCTGCATGGATTCGTCGCAGAAGCGGCAGATGAAAATGGGCGTTCTCAAGCTGATAGATGACATCCTTACGTAGCCTTCAGCTCCTGTCGGCGACCTAAATGACTGGAACATCGCTGACACCAACTCCCTTGGTTCTGATATTCTTTGGTGATTTTTAAAATTTTAATATGACATTTATTAATCTTTTATTAGTCTTGGTGGTGACTTTTTCCTTTTTGTAAAAGGTAAATTCTTATATTTGACTCTTTTTTGTGTATATTCAGTAGTATATGTGAATTTGGACATTTCTGGCATAAATTGGAATTTAAAAAGTGTAGCCCCCTGTCGTTCTTTGTTTTCTCAAATATTGTTTTAGCAATTAAATATATATTAAAATAATAAATGTCAGTGCCTAGCACTTTAAAAAGTAAGCAACAATAAAAAATTGAATGAAAGCAAAAAACTTTGTTATAAGCGCTACAGATACCTGAAGTTCGGGTTTTTTGTCTTTTCATTTAAAACATTTCTACCTGATTTTTAAAGTCATGTAATTAGCAGGTATTTCAATGTTACCACCTGGTTAGAGTAGAGAAACATCAAAGACTTTCATCCTGAAATCAATGATGGACAAGAAATATATTATTTTGAATTATTTATAAAAACCCTTGAATTTGTTTATATATTTAAATGTGTATTCTTCTTTTTTAATATTAAAAACCGGATATATGTCGTTTTCATCTAGCCGCTGGGAATATAACATTTACCAATTGTTCCAAATTCAACAGCAATTTAAAATTATTCTTCAGCTTTTTAGAAAAATAAGTAAAGGGGTGTGGTCTTCAATATATACAAGACGTTTTTGAAGGATTTGTAATTTTATTGTGATAAAAAGCAGAAGAAAAAGCCAAATATTCTAATATCCCTATTTGTGCTAAATCTAAGGGGAAAAGGGTGCAGGGTTTTAGGTATGGTATTGATACGAAGTGATTTTATAAAGTAATCTTTTAAATTGTAAATAAATTGCTATATTTATTGTTTTTGTGTGTTATTTGTAAAATGTAAAAATATTTTATCTGTGTTATTAAAAGTATTTTCACATATTTGTTCATCTTCGAACGTTTTGGAACCAAAGAGAAAGCATTTAATTAAATGAATGAATTAAAAAGGACGATATTTTGTTGGACTTTATAACACCGTCCAGTACCAATGGATAGTATTGAATTTGATGATACGCGTTCTACTAAAAACTGTGATTGTTTGTGATTTATTAAGAGTGAAGAAGAAAAAATAGAATGAGAATACGTTTCATTTTTCATTTATTATATAAATTAATGAATTATTGAGGGAGAATAAAATAAAAATGCAGCAGGATTAATTGGTTTATAACTAAGCAGTATTAAGCATTAAATAAAAGCTCAGTTTTGATAGAAAGTTATTTATAAGCTAATTTACTTTGCTAATTAGACATTTAGCATGATTGATGATTTTTCAAAAACAACATTCTTACTTAAAACAAATTTATTTTATTTAGATCCTGCGCATAATTTTACAGAAATTCTGATTTAATTAATGTACATATATTTTATCATTTATCTTTCAAAATGTAAGTTGTAAATATTGTAAAGAAGTTGTTTAGGTTCTGTGTCAGCATTTAAAGAATACTTTTCATTTAGTATTACCAGAAATTGATGTTTTTCCTAATCACTTTTTACCAGATACTATAGAGTAAGTTTAAACGCTGGAATAGCCAACAAGTCAAAGCTAAATGTAATAAAAACAATGTAGTTAAATAATAATTATAATGTTAAAAGCATAATTTTATTTTATTTTACATTTTTAAAGTTAGACTATTCTAGTATTTGGGATTTACACATTGTGGCCTATAATATTTTATTTACTTATTATTTTGTGCAGAACTTAAATAATTTACATCGAATATTTTTTATAATGTACATAGTATGTTTTTTTTTATTTAATTTAATTTTTTTTTAAAAGATGAGTGTATCATAAGAATATTGTGTAAAATACTTATGATATATATTATCATACATCTGAGTATGGCATCTTAATTGGTATTGTTATTTTTGCATTAAATAAAATTTATTGTTGTTTAATAACTTCTAATTCCCTTTTTTTTTATCACTAATATCTAGTTCTTTACCTGAGTGGTTCCAGACTTTTTGAGTTTTTACGATGCCCAATCATATTATTTTTAATGTTTATTTTACAATGCTTTGAAAAAAAAAAAAAAAAAGTATGACCCCCCCCCAGCACAACACCGATGGGACAAAATTAACGCACCATCCTTAAATTTTAAGATGGCCCTCCCAGAACCTAAACCAGAGATTAGGGATTGTTTTCACCTGAAATTTTCTCTCCTGATTAAGGTGTGCCAATGTGGTTGACATTTGAGCCCCTGCTTTTGGGCCGAAGCCTGCGCAGGTGCCCCTTATGCAGAGAAGGTTGCTGAAAGTGTCTCACATAATCGAGACATATCATGTCCTGGCTCCATACAGAGAGTGTTCCTCGAATACAACAGTTGATTTCTGGGTCCCCTGTTCCACTTTTTAGAGGACAAGAGGGTATTTTACTGTATATAATTATATTCTATGTGTTTTGTTTGAATGTGTGTATTTATTAGTGTGAGTGGTGGGGTGAAATATAGCATCAACCCTATTTTAGGTTAGATTGTTAATACTGTGTGTAGGGTGATGGAGGAATACCCATTGCTCCACCAACTAATCAGAATGAGTGCAATGCATGAATGTATTTATTTGTGCGATTGACTTATTTAATTTGTATTAGGCTTGATTATGGCTTGCATGCGTTTGGGGCTGAAAGGAACAAGCTGTCAATAGCTCCTGTCGGTGCCTAACCTATTGGTAGGTGTGGCGATTAGTAACCGTTAGTCGATGATTATTCAGAAATCGTGAGATGCGGTCTGGTGAGATGTAGGTTCAAATGAAACTTTTTCAACCAAATAAAACTTTTTTCAATGAATTAAACCTTTTTTCAATCGAATGAAACTTTTTTCAATCGAATGAAACTTTTTTCAATCGAATGAAACTTTTTTCAATCGAATGAAACTTTTTTCAATCGAATGAAACTTTTTTTTCAATCAAATGAAACCATTTTTCAAGCAAATGAAACTTTTTTCAATCAAATGAAACCTTTTTTCAATCGAATGAAACTTTTTCAATCAAATGAAACCTTTTTTAATCAAATGAAAACATTTTCCAAGCAAATGATACCTAAAACCTAACGATAATAATTATGTAGAGGAATAAATAAATGACATTATAGTGCTAACAATAATTTTTATGATGATTCAATATTAATATTACAATAATTGAATTGTAAGGCTTAGTTACAAGAACGTTTCCTGTGAAGATTCATATTCATCAAACTTTTCTACATCCACCCCATCGAAGTTAAACTAAATGGGATAGAAAAGTGTTTTTGAGTGAGCAACAACTTTCTGTAATAGAAATTAGGAATGATTGAGTGGGTGTGGAGTTCAATCCTTTTTAAAAAGATGGTTCCTACTCACAGTAAGTTGTTTCGCAACCATCCGGATTTCGAGCCCTTTAGCTCATCATCAGGTTGAAGGGCGTTTTTGCGTTGGCGGGGTTATCAGCGGGTTCACTTTTGCAATTCATGTTGAGAGACATGTTTGTACAAACCCTTGGAAAATGGTTTCATTTGATTGAAAAAGTTTCATTTGATTGAAAAAAGTTTCATTTGCTTGAAAAATGGTTTGATTTGATTGAAAAAAAAAGTTTCATTCGAGTGAAAAAAGTTTCATTTGATTGAAAAAAGTTTCATTTTGTTGAAAAATTGTTTCATTTGATTGAAAAAAAGTCATGATTGCTCAAGTGGTAGAGCAGCGGCAAATCAAGCCGAAGATTGTGGGTTCGAATCCCGCTCGTGCTATTGACTTTTTATTTCAACTAAAAACTTTCATTTATTGTAATATATTAATTGGTCAAGCAGACCACGAAATTAGTGAATTTATTGAAAAAAAGGTTTCATTTGATTGAAAAAAGTTTCATTTGCTTGAAAAATGGTTTCATTTGATTGAAAAAAAGTCACGATAGCTAAAGTGGTAGAGCAGCGGCGTATCTAGCCGAAGATCGTGGGTCCGAATCCCGCTCATGCCATTGACTTTTTATCTCAACTAAAAACCTTAATTAATTGTAATATATTACTTGGTCAAGCGGACCACGAAATTAGTGAATTTATTGAAAAAAAGGTTTCATTTGATTGAAAAAAGTTTCAATTGTTTGAAAAAGTTTCATTCGATTAAAAAAAGTTTCATTCGATTGAAATAAAGTTTCGTTTGCTTGAAAATTGGTTTCATTTGATTGAGGAAAAAAAAGTTTCATTCGATTGAAAAAAGTTTCATTTGATTGAAAAAAGTTTCATTTGTTTGAAAGAGTTTCATTTGGTTAAAAAAATTTCATTCAATTGAAATAAAGTTTCGTTTGCTTGAAAAATGGTTTCATTCGATTGAAAAAGGTTTCATTTGATTGAAAAAGGTTTCATTTAATTGAAAAAAGTTTCATTTGCTTGAAAAAAAGTTTCATTTGATTGAAAAAAGTTTCATTTGATTGAAAAAAGTTTCATTCGATTGAAATAAAGTTTCGTTTGCATGAAAATTGGTTTCATTTGATTGAGAAAAAAAAGTTTCATTCGATTGAAAAAAGTTTCATTTGTTTGAAAACGTTTCATTTGATTAAAAAAAATTTCATTCAATTGAAATAATGTTTCGTTTGCTTGAAAAATGGTTTCATTCGATTGAAAAAGGTTTAATTTGATTGAAAAAAGTTTCATTTGCTTGAAAAAAGTTTCATTTGATTGAAAAAAGTTTCATTTGTTTGAAAAAGTTTCATTTGATTAAAAAAAATTTCATTCAATTGAAATAAAGTTTCGTTTGCTTGAAAAATGGTTTCATTCGATTGAAGAAGGTTTCATTTGATTGAAAAAAAGTTTCATTCGATTGAAAAGTTTCATTTGATTGAAAAAAGTTTCATTTGTTTGAAAAAGTTTCATTTGATTAAAAAAATTTTCATTCGATTGAAATAAAGTTTCGTTTGCTTGAAAAATGGTTTCATTCGATTGAAAAAAAGTTTCATTTGGTCGAAAAAAGTTTCATTTGCCTGAAAAATGCTACATATACCAAAATATTTGAGTTCCTTTACTAGTCCTAATTTTTCAACGTTCAAATGGATCAATTCAAATCAATGTGACTGTCGCCAGTTCTAGGTTCACCAGAATCTCGATTCTTTTGAATTCTGGCGGTTCCCAGTTCTCTTATAACCTTTGTTCTCGATCACTCTCCTTGACGTGTGGAATATACAGATGTTTTGTTTAGCAACACATTCTTGACTTACAAGTGTTTTTTTCCCTTTATAATCGGGAAACTGTTTTTTGTTTTCGTTTTTCCAGGCCAGGATGTACCAGATGCAATTCGAGCCTCGTCAACTTATGCAGGTTGAAAAAATACACCACGTTCCAAAGATGCTCCATCCACCGGTCATTCTGCCAGGTATGTGGGGCCTCCTTCCTGGCTATTTGACATCCCCTTCGTCGGTATATTTCGACAATCGACGACCCTTGAAAGTGCGATTAAAATAAATAGGGATTAACGAATAATCTCGGTCAAATCAAAGAGTATTTGTGATTGCGAAATAAATAAAAACAAACCCTGAGGTGACAAGGCCAGAACAAAAATAACAATCTTTATGTTCTAGAAGCAACTAGTATAAAAAAAGCTTTTCCTTTACAAACTAAACCTTTATGTATTTATATTAATAGAGAATTTTGTTATGGATACTCTCTGCGTTAAATCCTTCTTATCGTTTATAGTCCAACTATTCATATTTGACATGTTGGTCAGTTGTATCATGCAATTTCACCCCTTTCTTAGGTTTGTTTTACATTATTAATTATGATTATTCAGAAATCGTGAGATGCGGTCTGGTGTGATGTAGGTTTCAGAAAAACATTTTCTTTATCGTACCAACGTTTTGATCTTTATTGAGATCATCTTCAGGCCTGGGATTTACAAACATTGTTTACATTTAGCAAATACATGTAGGATGTGGAAAAAAGTGAATTTATACAATGCAAAATATATTTTTTATATTTCAAAATCCAACATATATAAACACAAAACAGCAATATCTCACTGGCACTCTCAACACGACACACAAGAATGGCGCAATTACACAGAAGACGAGCACTTTGAGTGAGTAGAAATACTTTGATTGAATATAAAAAATATAAATTCACTAATTTCGTGGTCCGCTTGACCAATTAATATATTATAATTAATTAAAGTTTTTAGTTGAGATAAAAAAGTTAATGGCACAAGCGGGATTCGAACCCACGATCTTCAGCTTGATACACCGCTGCTCTACCACTTGAGCTATCGTGACATTTGAAAAATGGCAAAAAGGAGGGAAAATTCAAAAGGTGGGGTTGAGATGGGAAGTTGGTGTCCGAGGGGATCGAGGTCAAGATAGCTCAAGTGGTAGAGCAGCGGCGTATCAAGCCGAAGATCGTGGGTTCGAATCCTGCTCGTGCCATTGACTTTTTGATCTCAACTAAAAACCTTAATTAATTATAATAAAAAATATATTTTGCATTGTATAAATTCTCTTTTTTCCACATCCTACATGTATTTGTTGAATTTAAACAATGTTTGTAAATCCCAGGATCTGATGATGATCTAAATAAAGATCAAAACGTTGGCACGATAAAGAAAATGTTTTTCTGAAATTCACTAGTTTTCGTGGTCCGCTTGACCAATTGATATTTTTAAATTAATTAAGGTTTTTAGTTGAGGTAAAAAAGTAAGTGTCACGAGCGGGATTTGAACCCACGACCTTTGGCCCATTTGTCATTCATTTGAAACTGAGACCTTTGCCTTACAGTGATCATCGTATCACTGCCTAAATCATTGCAGCCACCGATCCCCCTGGTTTTCCATCCCTAAAATCAATTATAAAAAGTGACTATCTAAAAGCCTTTGCATTTTTCTGTACTGTATCTGTTGAAGAAGTTCCCTTACTTCATAATTTTTGTCTACTTTTGAACAAAATTTCTTCAGTATATATTGTTTCATAATTATTCTTTTTATGTAAGGTCTTGGTTGAGTAGAAAAAATTAGTGTCAGGAGTGGGATTCGAAACCACGATGAACGGATTAATCTATATTATATGTACATTCAATGTAAATTATGTCTTAGAAACAGAAGAATATTTTATACATATAAAACTGATCTTATCTCTCTTACATATTTATATTATGAGTTTCTATAACAAAAACTACCCAACTTGGCATAACGAAGATCTTATTACAAGTTTTCTCATTTTCTAACAATTAAGAATGGAACAGTATTAAATAATAAAAACCAAATGTGTGTTTTGATCACAATCACTGCAATTTAGGTCTTGATATGATACCCGATTAACTGATTTCTTTTTTTTTTTAATTTTAGGAGTAAATGCTGGCGTACCTGTCGAAAACAAGCAGCCTCCCAAACAAAGGCGAAAAAAAACTAAGGGAAACAGAGAACAAGAAGTGGCTCTGCCAATGGTGTATATGTCTAATATATATTTTTGGTTAATATTTACAACCAATTGACAAAATTGTAGACACATTAAAAAAACACAATTTCAACAGTCAAAAATGATTTCTTTTGCCATTAGAATATTGTTCATGATATTAAAAGAAAATTAACTCTGGAAATGGCCCGATCTGATAATCTTATACAAAAGTACATCTCAATAAACAGTATTGTTTTGATTTAGCTGCGACAGAATTATAGACACATATTTTGTTTACAGTTATTTTAAAACTCCAAAGGTTTATTCAGTATTAACTGTACCGTGCCTTAGTAAAGTGATTACTGTGAGTTCATTTGGAGCAATTGAAAGTTATTTTAAAATGCCCAAAGGAAGAAGATTTTCTGATGAGGAGCGCCGGTTGATTCACTTTCTCAATGAAGATGGAATGAGCTGCTGAGATATTGCCCGACGCATAAAACGAAGTTTTTCATCGGTATCAAAGATAATACGACTAGGTAAAGACTACGGAAAAGGGCATAGCTCTGGAAGACCTCCTTTCTTGACCAGAAGAAACAAATCGCACATCCTGCACGTTGCTTCAAACGGCTTTTCGACTGCAAAAGCCATCGCAGAGAAGGCAGGTGTTGATGTTTCTGTTCGAACTGTTCAGAGATTCCTAAAAAAACTGAAAACTAGTCCAAAGAAAACTGAAACGCAAACCAGCTCTGAAACCCCACCACAAACTAGCCCGTGTCAAATTTTTTGAAAACCACATTTTGAAAAATGAAGATTATTGACGAAAAGTTATTTTTTCTAACAAAAAAAATTCAATTTGGACAGCCTGGACGGATATGCATACTACTTTCATGATCTAACTAGAGAAGAAAAAAAAAGTCTTTTGTTTTGGTGGTCAATCTGTTTTCTTTCAAAAAAAGTCAATTCGGAATATTACAAGAAATTACTGGATAAAGAAAAAACTAGTTTCAGCGGACTCCAATATTCCAGCAGGACAACGCACCCATACACAATGCAAAAATTGTTAAAGAATGGTTTTCACTGAACAGCATTGACAACTTGAATGGCCTGCACTCTTACCAGACTTGAATATTAAAATGTATAGGGAAAATTATCGAGGATGGATGGTATATCAAGACAACAGTACAACTCTGTCGACAAACTTAAAACAGCTGTCACCACTGCCTGGAATAATTTGCCTCTACATTTTATTCAAAATTTGTACAAAACCATTCCAGAAAGATTACTGGAAATAATAAAACTGAGTGGTAATGCCACAAAATATTATAAGCTGGTTTTAAATTGATTTTATCCCATGTGTCTATAACTTTGTCGCAGACAAAATCGTTTAATTTTAGTATTTTAATAATTTTTTCTCTTATTTACTGATAAATTAATATATTACAATTAATTAAGGTTTTTAGTTGAGATAAAAAAGTGAATGGCACAAGCGGGATTCGAACCCACGATCTTCGGCTTGATATGCCGCTGCTCTACAACTTGAGCTATCGTGACCTCGATCCACTCTGACACCAACTTCCCATCTCAACTGCACCTTTTGAATTTTCCCTCCTTTTTGCCATTTTTCAAATGTCGTGTAATCGGGTTGGATTCTCGACGACAAATGAAATTGCCACGGAGAGCATTAGTGAAGTATACTTAATTTTTAATCATTAAATTCACTAATTTCATGGTCCGCTTGACCAATTAAGATATTACAATTAATTAGGGTTTTTAGTTGAGATAAAAAAGTCAATGGCACGAGCGGGATTTGAACACACGAGTTCAAAAATTTTTGAAAAATGGCAAAAAGGGGGGAAAATTCAAACGGTGCTGCGGTTGTGATGGGAAGTTGGTGTCAGAGTGGATCGAGGTCACGATAGCTCAAGTGGTAGAGCAGCGGCGTATCAAGCTGAAGATCGTGGGTTCGAATCCTGCTCGTGCCATTCACTTTTTTATCTCAACTAAAAACCCTAATTAATTGTAATATATTAATTGGTCAAGCGGACCATGAAATTAGTGAATGAAAAATTAAAGTTTAATGAAAAAAAATATTTATTTCATGTGTTTTGAATAAATATTTATAGTACAAACCCATTACATTAAAAAATCATAACAATTAGGGGTGTATCTATAATTTTGTCACTCGGTTGTAGAAGTGTGATGTTATCAGATACAAAGTTTATTAAAATTGATCATCTGAAATAATGTAGTTGTAGATGTGTAATTGGGGAGGTCTATTAATAACAACAAAGTTCTTTCTTTCTTACCTAATTTTTTTTATAGTATTAAAAGGTTTAGTTGTTATTAGGAACAGAGAATAAGAAGTGGTTCTGTCAATGGTGTATATGTCTAATATATATTTTTGGTTAATATTTAGAAGTATAGAAGAAAATTAATACTTTTTTCATTGTTTAGATAACATTTCATAAGGAAAACTTTGATGATCAATCCGTTGAATTTTGCGAACAAGTCAAGATGGATGCAGTCAAATATGCAATGATAGATACTGTAATATAAAGTAATAATACAAATGTTTGTAAAAATTAGTAATTAAAATAGGAATTTTTAGGTATTGAACGATGTTGCCGCTGTATATAGGAAACTTTTGCCTGGTTTGGTGCCTCAATTGTATGGTTCTTCATATACTGGGATTGCATTCAAGAACAGTGACATTGATGTTCATTTACATTGTCGTAAGATTTAAAAAAAAAGTGTTTATTTAACAATAGCAAAGGACAGCATTCTGAGCTTCTTATTGTTAAATTTTCCAGATGGTGATGATATTCCAGACGATCTTTTTATAAAAACTAGTGGTGGTATATTGAGAAGGAGCCCCAAATTCAGGTATACGATTAAAGTCGCTAATGCAAAGGTGCCTGTCATGAAAACAATTCACCAATCCGGAATTGAATTAGACATCAGTGCCACGTCTCAGAATTCTGTACATAACAGCATTTTGATTAAACACATAATGGATTCAGATGTGAGAATTAAGCGTTTGACTATGTTGATTTCATACTGGGCCAAAAGGAATTTAATTTCGGGTAGGAATTTATTTACAAGCTATTCAATTGTTTTGTTGGTTATTTTCTATTTACAAAAAATTGAACCACCAATGTTACCACCTTTGAGACAGATTTTATACCGTCGAGAATCCATCGGTTGGCCGTATGCAGTGCGGAATGATGCTAAATTAGTACCTTACATAAACAAATCCACTTTAAGTGATCTTTACAAGGGATTTTTTTATTTTTATTACAACAAGGATTTCTCAAAAGTTGTAATATCTCTTTATGCTGGGACAGAAATATCTCTAGAAGATCTATCAAATTACCAGACGTTGTCAAGCGATTTCAATTCGTACAAAAGACAAATAGCACTAGGAAAATCTCCTTTTGTGTACACTCACTGCATTCACGTTCAAGATCCGATTGAACTCTATGTAAATACGACCAGGCGTGTTATTCCGAGTCTTTTGCGAAAATTTCAAGAAACGCTTAAAAGATTCGTTACGAATACGAGTTTGCTGCCGAACTCTCAATGGCTTCCCATAATGACAACCGAGAAACCAATAGAACTTCAAAAACCCATTAAAATGTATATCTCCTATCCGAAAGATGAAATAACTAAAGTCGGAAATTTTAACCAAGATTTCAATACAGCTTGTAAATTGCTCTTATTCAATGTAGAAGTGCTGAATCAGAATAAATTTCAAAAACTAGAAGACGGTAATAAACGCAGGCCAATGCTTGAGTACTCGCTAAGCACTGACAAATACCTATTTACAAAAGATTTCAGAGTCCTTTTCAACAATCTAACTAACGGCCTCATATCTTGCGAACAGTTCAAACATAAATTACAGGAATCAACCGCCAAAAACCAAATAGTTACCAAATTTAAGCTTCAAGCCATGGTGAATATTGATATGGAAAGTCTGAGCTCTTCAAAGAAAAAAGTATCAGCCGAAGGTGAAAATAACATAGGCGTAGCTGCCGAATTTGTAAATGGAAACCAATGTGAAGATGTGATCTTTGCAGAAATTGTTCATTGGACGAAACAGTACATCAATCCATTGATAAATATTGTAAGAAAAATTCGAAAGGGCGAGGTTATACCTAAAATTACAGAAGCCAAACCAAAATTAAATAAAGATAATACAAATAAAGATAATAAAGATAAAGATAATAAAGCTAAAGATAATAAAAATAAAGTGAATAAAAATAAAGTGAATAAAAATGAAGATAATAAAAATAAAGTGAAAAAAATTGAAGATAATAAAACTAAAGATAATAAAAATGAAGAAGAAATGGTTATTGATTAGCCCTCTCCTAAAAAGAGTAATCCTTTTCTTCTGTATATATGTTGATGAATATGATCTTGACTGAGCTTTTTTTCTTGTGCTTTTTGTACTTTCACAGAGCTTCTATTAATAAAAATAACTAAAATAACAAGTTTATTTTGTAAATAACAAAACATACTTTGATCTCACAGAAATTTTTAATACTAGATGACACATATTTATAATGTACAGGTTTTAATTTAATATTTCAAATGATATTTTTCAGGCATTATTAATACATTAGTTGAAGTAAATATTCTACCAATTAATTTATTAATTAATTTAAATATTCTATATTTTATAAATGGGTTATAATTAATTCTACTAGTTTTCGTGGTCCGCTTGACCAATTTTATCTTGACTAAAAACATTAATTAATTGAAAGTTATAATTAATGTTAATTCTTTTATCAGGCATGTAATCGTAACTAATATGCTCAAGCAAATCTTATATACTGTTATTTAATCGTAAATATTGAATTTGTATTATATGTTAATGAAACTGTACTTTCTTGTGTGATTTTGAAAAGTTACTTATTTGTTATAAGTATATGTATTATGAAAATGTATTTATTGTATATATAAATTTTTGTCCACTCCTTTTAGCATTTGTTTTCTTTTTGTTTGATTTTAAAGCCTATCATTAGAAAGTTAAGCATTTTCTAACATGCCTATGTTATAAATTGACACTTACTTTTTCATTTTTAATTTTAATTTTTGTCAATCATCTTGAATCATGATGACAATTTTTTATTGTCATCACACCTTGTTTTTATGTGTACGACAGCATCTTCGTAACCACATATCGAAATATTTCTGTAAATATGTTTTATGTTACTTTTATAATGGGTTTAAGATTACAGTTGTGTATAATGCCAATAAAAAGTATTGTATTCATTGTATTTAATTTAAACCGAATGTTCTTTCTTCTCCAATTTATTCTTGGATTCAATCACAATCAAGAAAATTCACTATTCTTTATCCAATCTTCATTTTAATAGTTGATAAAGATTTTCTGTTTAGTTTGTTATAACGTTTTATCATTTATATTCTAGAAGTGTCTTTGAGGAACAAACAAGTTCTTACAATCTAATATTCAAAAAAGATTTTATAATTTATTAATTAATTTAATGTGACAATATATTGCAAAAAGTGATGTTTTATATAAAAACAAATTATTGACCCAGTCCCATTTTTTGTGTTATTTTAGTGTCTAATGGCAAAGTTTGCACTAAAGTTCTAATGGCATAAAACAAAATGGCAAAGTTTGCACCGATGAGGATGTTTTTTCTTTTTAACCTGAACTTGGCTAGTTTTGGATTGACAGATTGAAATAATTGGAAAATGTTGGCCTTGATCAAGGTTGAATTCATAATTCTCGTACTCAACAGCGACCCATTCGGGTTTTTTTAACATTAAAATGCTATTTAAAAAAAATATCTTCAATATCTCTTAGAAACTGGATGGATCAAATTTTCGCTCAACCTTAAGAAAATGGCAGAGTAGAAAATATCCATGGCTTTTTTGAAAACTCAAATTTATTGTTGACTTTTGTTATAAGACATATCAAAGCTCGCTAGATTCGAAAAAAAACAACAACAAAAGATGCTAAAATACCGGCAGATTGTAATAAAAGCAACTTGGTCAACAAAAGTGGTCTAATCAAATTACACAATAAAACATGGACATGGTTTTGGGCTAGTTTTTTTGTGACAGTTTTCATGCTGCTGGGTAATTGTGTAAGGATAGGTTAAAATTTTGGCTTAGGTTAGATTAAATTTTGGTTCAGTTAGAGACAGGTTAGCTTAAAATATGGGTTTATGTTAAGGACGGGTTAGGATAAACCTTTGTTTAGGAAGGCTGGAGACAGGTTGAATAAAAGTTTGGGTTAGGGAGGGATTGCATTAAAGCTGTGGTTAGGAAGTTTTGGGTAGGATGAATAAAAGTTTTGGTTAGGGAGGGATTAGATTAAAGCTGTGGTTAGGAAGTTTTGGGTAGGATGAATAAAAGTTTCGGTTAGGTTAAGTTTTGGTTCGGTTAGATACTGGTTAGCTTAAAATTTAGGTTTGAGTTAGGTGTAGTAAAATTTAGGTTAGTGTACATATCCACGATTAAACGGTTTTCTGTGAAGAAAATGTCCTAGTGCGTTTCCTTAATATTTTTTTTATTTTCTTGTCCATCTTTTCTCTTTTTATAGTTGAAAATTTGGTTTTGTTAGGCGCTATTATTTGTCATTAAAAAAATAAATAAAATTCATGATTTTGCGACGTTTCGGCTAGCCTGGGCCTTTGAAGACTTTAAATATGATTATATAAATACATATATTAAAAATCTTTTATGAGTAGAACCATCATTTTGAATTGATTTGATGTACTCACTCCATCATTCCCAATTTTTATTAGCGAAGCAATAATTCTCATCTTTACAGTTAAAGTTCCTGCCCTTTTATTCCTTATCCTATGAGACGGATAGGAAGAGGCAACTACAAATTGAATTACAAAAAGGGGCAATTACAAATTAAAACAATCGTTTTAACCTTATTTTCATACATTTGGGAATGTGAATACAAATGATTACATCTAGATTGGCATGGAGTCTACATCCCCCAGGTCACAGGGCTAACATGCCTGTATCCTCCTTCTGTCCGACGCGAACCATCCCTCAACAACATCCAGGTCCCAAGGAGCCAACTCGTCCCCACATGCAAGGTGGCTTAGATATCCACTTTACACTCTGTGAAAAATCTGAACATGATACGCCGACAAACTGCCTGAAGCCACAATTGTGTTAAAACTAAATGGTTTTACTATCTCTAATGTGGTGTTGTTAGGTATGGAAAAAGTATTTGACTCCATGTAGCATGATGGCATGATTCACACTTATAAAATATAAATTTCCAAATTATACTGTGAAAATTATTCACGCTTACCTAAAAAATAGAACCTCTGAATCCATCAACATCTCTGTGCCAGACCTTTCAACGTTTTGGATGGTATATCAAACACAAAATATTTAAACATTTAATAAATACCCAACACAACCATCTGTGATAAGCACTCTAATGTGATTAACATTCCTACTCCATTATAAAATATTAAACTATATACTGTGATTGTGATAAATACAAATCTAATTATTTAATTAATATTATATTTTTAGTTTATTATTATTTTATTAATGATTTATATAAGCTCAAATCTGCACACGCATATACCTACATACACATGTGTACAGAGTGGAGATTATCATTTCTCACAGTTCACTGGCAATTCCAACTTTTGTCATTTACAAAAATTTTCTGCCAGGTCTCGAGGATCACTGGTGTTCGGGTCCGAACAGCTGCCTAGGTCGGGCTCCAGAGGCTATCAACAGCTAGGTCATTTCAGCCATAAATGCAGTTAGTTCCTAAATTCATTCACGCTCTCACTCTCCCTTAAAAATTCATTTTTTCTTATTCACATGCCATTAACTCAGTTGGGGTACTCGATATTGTTCTTTACACATATTGTACCACTAATCTAATTGAGGGTCGATGGGGTGCTCGATATTCCACTAAAGAAATTCTTACATCAAACATTCACGCTAATAAATGCATTCCCTCTCAATACATGCTAGAGGCACAAAACTATAGAATTATATACAATACTAGATGTAAGAATTTATTTGCCCTTGATCTACCAACGAGGTAGCAAATTTAGTTTGTTTTATAAATTTTAAATTTAGCAGTTTTTGAAAGATTTAGTGTTTGTTCTTTAATCAAAAATTAAATTGAAAGTTTTACAACGGCGCCTTCTCAAAGGGAATTTTACACTCTTTTCAATGCTTTTTTTTGCATTCCCCAAAAACGAATAGTTCAAGAGCTACGAGAAGACCTGACGAAATTTATTGTACGAGTAGTGAATCATATTGTACAACAATATTTTTTTATCTCAACCAAAACCTTAATTAATTGAAAAGAATTTATTTGGTCAAGCGGACCACGAAACCTAATAAAATGTAATAACCAAAATGAAGTATACTTCACTAAAGCACTCCGTGGCCATTTCATTTGTCTCCAAGAATCAAAAATATTACACGACATTTGCAAAATGGCAAAAAGGAGGGAAAATTCAAAAGGTGGGGTTGAGATGGGAAGTTAGTGTACGAATAGCTCAAGTGGTAGAGTAGCGGCGTATCTAGCCGGAGATCATGGGTTCGAATCCCGCTCGTGACACTGACTTTTTTATGTCAACCAAAACCGTAATTAATTGAAAAGAATTTATTTGGTCAAGCGGGCCACGAAACCTAATAAAAAAAATCCCGCATAACCTTGAAATACATGCCAACAAAGACTGAAAACCATATTTAAAAAGTAAATTATTTAAAATAGTTTATATTCTCGGCTCCTAGGACCATTTGGCAAGAATGATCCCACATACGTAGATCGTCACCTTGTTAGAAAAAAAAACGAAAAAAAAAAACAAACATCGACATGAAAAACATTCGTTCTTTCTCCATCGAAGTAGCAAAGAGATGTTTAAAAACAAGCACCAAGCATGCACAAGTGTGGCAAGTTCACTAATATCTTCATCATACCGTTTTTTAATCTGGATTTAATAAATCAATATAAACTGCTGAAAAATGAATAGAGATATATGTAATTTATTCTTATTGTAATAATTTTAATTAAATTAACCGATATTTATGTTTAATTAAGAATTATAAACATGAAGATTACTCGTTTTGTAAACGAACACCTTTTCTCCATTTTAATCCAGATGTATTCTCTTTAACCATGGAAAGACACCATATTGAACCAGACGTTCGCAATATTATTGTGAGAATAAGTCATTGAGGTCACCAGCAGGTGGATATCCAGAGCAGTTGGCGTTTCTCAGAGCGTGGTCTCCCGGGCTTTAGCGTGGTCTTCCAAAAGACTGGAAGTGCCTGTAGGATGCCTGGTAGTTGATCTCAGCGCACTACAACGCCGAGGGAGGACAGAAATATTGCATTGCTGCAAGACGGAACCGTGCCCGCCAGATCCTAAATGACGTACAAGATGTTTTGGCAAAGCTTTTATCAAAACAAAGGATTCGTAATAATTTGTGGGATGTTGGCCGTTGAGACGACCTGCAACTCTGGAGAATATGGTGCAGCGAACGCCTAGAAGAGAACAATTGGTTACTGATGAGTCGCGTTTCTGTCTGTATAGTGAGAGCAGGCGCCGAAGTGTCTTCCGAGAACGGAAGATGCATACAATGCCTCAGTTCTTGTTACTTTCAGTGCAGTTTGGAAGAGGCGGTGTAACTGTCTGGGCTGGGATTTACTCTCGAGGATGAACTGGGCTCTGTATTGTTGAAGGTAATCTACCGCAGTCCGTTGTGTCCAAGAAATTATCGAGGAATGCATCCCTCAAACCAGGTCTCTCATTGACAGCGATTTTTCGATTTCTGGATGACAATGCCATGCCTCATAGAGGCAGAGTTGTTCATCAATGTTTAGAAAAAGCACCTTCCCCTTCTCGCAATGTCTTCCGACCTGAATACCATTGAGTACATGTGGGATGCATTGCAGAAAAGGATTTTCGATCCGTAGCTAGTGACCTGCAACAACTGAGTGCAGCGTTGCAACATCTATGGAGTGAAATTCCTTACGAAATTAGTGACAACCATAATTAACAGTGTGCCTGACAGGTGCACTGAGGTTTTAGCTAACAGAAGACATTATACAGGGTATTAATTGTTTAAAAAAATTGTGTACAATAAACAAAATTATGTAATTAAAATCTTTTATTTTGGTATTTTTCCAAATACCTTAATTCAATTTCCCTTCATTAAAAAAACATATGTAATACATTTTAATGCAATTTATAATAAAAATAAAATAAAAATGCTAGGGGAAAAATTGGCAATATCCCTATTCATATTTGAGCAGATTAATAAAAGAAGTTTAAGACAAAATCATATATTTTATAAAACAATGTTGTTAAACGAATGAAAAAATAATACATAATGTGTGGTGTTTAGTGACCGTTAGTTAACGATTATTCGGAGATCGTGAGATGCGGTCTGGTGTGACATTGGCTTTAGAAAAAGATTTTCTTTATCGTGCCAACGTTTCGATCTTTATTGAGATCATCTTCAGTGAATTTATACAATGCAATAACACCCTAGACCACGACTAGAGTTACCTCAAGATTAAGCAATTAAAAGGCGTTACAGGAAAATCGTTGATATCGACCATCCAACCTTATTTATAAAATGTTTTGTCAAGCAAGTCAAAAAAAGAGTGTTCCATTCATATAACAAATCATTTTTAAAATGAAATTGAACTTAAATTGTACTTGGGATGGTTTCATTAGTCTGTCATTTGGTCATTGCACCATCGTTACTGGTGAGTTTAGGTGTTATTTGTTATAAATTAAATACAATAATTGATCTGAAGATGGCGGGAAGCTGACAATCGTAAACCAGTGAGCACAGAAGGGAGCTGTTGGGTGATCACTGTTGAGCAGTTCAACTTGTTAAACGACAAATACCACCAACTAAGAAGACCATCATAACTTATAAAAAGGACAGTCGCAATAAAAAATGCACATACAACCAGTGAAGAAAGGCGTGATAATGTGAAACAAGTACATTTCATGACACACAGCAGCAGAACAGCGTTATTTTTCAATTCAATTATTTTCTTACAATCTTCATTGGCTAGTATAAAATTTTATTCGTTGAAAAGCTACTAGTGAATGTAAAACCAGCGTGAATGGACATACACTGTAATGTGATCAATGTTGATCAGTTCAACTATCATAATAATATTCGGAGATCGTGAGATGCGCTCTGGTGTGACGAGGTTTTAGAAAAACATTTTCTTTATTGTGCCAACGTTTCGATCTTTATTGAGATCATCTTCAGGGCATGGGATTTATAAACATTGTTTAATTACGAATACACTTTGAATGTGAAAAAAGAAAATGGCACGATAAAGAAAATGTTTTTCTAAAACCTACGTCACACCGGACCGCATCTCACGATCTCCGAATAATCACAATAATAAATATTAAATGTATGTAATTAATAAATATTATCAAAATGTATTAAATTTTTCTCAACTGAGTATTGTTAGCTGATTGCAAGCCGGACGTTTTTTTTTTCACGTAGACCAAGCCCTCTTTTGGGCTTATGAAAAAGACACGTTTTCGTCCAATTGTGAATTAAGAAAAGGGTGTGGTGAACCTTTTTTACAACGGTACAAGGAAGTTCGCGAAGGTCGTTATTACGAGTGGGGGCTGTCAGCTATATATATATGCCTACTATTTACCTATTTAATCCAGGACCTTCAATCCGAAGTTAATCCAACTTACCAAAATGAAATTTTTCGTAAGTATATTTTTTTTATTGTAATAAATTTTTTTATTCAATCACATTGAATACATTTTTACTATAAATATATGAAAATATTTTTCTTGTGCAATGTGCTTGGAAAACAGTTTGTCTTGAATTATTTTTGGTCGTTCGAAATTGTCGCAATTCTTGATTTTTTCCCCTAAACAAATATGATAATTTTGTCCTTTTGTAGAACTAAAATAATTCTAACATGTTAATAAATACATATGATCGATAATTTAAAAGGATTAAACGAAATTTATTAAACATGCATTTTAGGTCTGTACAATTAAATGCATGAAGGTTCAAAAATAAAATTCTCTTAGCGATTCTGCAATTTCCGACTTCATCTACAAAATCATATAAATTAATCGACTTTTTTTGTAAACATTATTTTGAAAATTGATTTCTTCCATAAAAGTATACTTATTTTAGGTTACCGGAGAAACAGTTGATAAACAAAATTAATATTCTTTCATTAAATATATATTATTTTTTTTTTTACGAGGGTTCGCAACAGCAGAAATCATATAAGCCCCTTGGGTGCCGGTGTTTTTGAAAAAAGTCCATTTGTAAGTATGTCGGGTTCGAATGCAGGGCCGCTGGATTCGAACCCGGGACCTTTACCTTACAGTGATGAGCGCCGTGTTAACGCCTAAACCGCTGCGGCCACCGACGCCCTCCAAAACATATACTTTTTATATAACTTGTTAATATTCTATAATTGCCTGTCTGAAAGTTTAAAGGAATAACCTAAGGATGGACATCGAACCTAAAATGTACTAAAACTATATCAAACATTAACAAGCAGAGGTCCTACCCAAGAAGAACATAAATGAAAACTAAAATACAATTTTTTCCACGATATGTTTAAAATAAATATGTGTATTGTTTTGATGTTATTTGTTGAAATTTTGGCTACCGTGTAGGCGTATTTACTTAGATCAAAATATGACTTTTCGATACGGTGAGCATTTTTGGCTCTATTAAATTAATTATATTACATTTTATTTTTGGCAACGTACTCTTTCAGAAACAAAGAAGCATCACGACCTCATAAAAAGGACTGGACTTCACAGAATTCACACATACAAATTGAAAATTGCGAAATAGCAAAACTCGTCAGGATAGCCCAGAGAGAACAAGATCAAAATGATCAGAAACAAACCAAATTTCAAAAATAAAATACATGGACTTTTTAAATCAAATTATGGAAATTCCAGAAGAAGCTTCCTATTCTTGTTTATTACCCCCCCCCCATAAAGTAAATGCGCCTTTTTAAACATATACATTTTTTTCACAGTGATAACAAAATATCCGGTTTTTAATTAAAATATCGATAGTTTATGATCGACAGCTGAAGAATCTTTTTGTAATAGATAACTTTTGTAATTTGTGATGTACTGATAATATATTTTCTTTACGTAGGCTTAGAGTATACTGTATGGAGACCAAATACATATAGGGTTTTTATTTAACATATCAATATATTGAATATATCGAATATCGATACCCATCTATGGAGGAATTTACTTGTCGTTATTTATTACCCGTAAGAAATACAGCTTTTTTTCTTTATCCACTATACTTTTATTGTTATTGTATAAAAGTCCGTTTTTATAGGTTAATATGTATAAAACGAAAAAATGGCGTTTTTCGTTAATATATCGATATTTTGTATGTGTGGAATATCGATACTCATCCATGAAAAAAGAAACACTTTGTTTCTTTCTGTAACACAATTCATTTTTGTTTGTAACAAAATTTGTTTTTAATGAAAGTTAAACTAGCCAGAAATATACATACTGAAAACAAATATCAAAGTTTTTAGTTAAAATATCGATATGAAATATCGATAAAAATACACAAAGGAACCTACTTCATTGTTTCTTTCTCTAACACACTTTCTTTGTTGTAACAAAGTCTTTTTTATTTAGTAGTTAATAAATAGTTCGAGAAGAATAAACGTTATAATTTTAAGGAAATAGTGTGATATATTTTTTTATCTGCCCAATAAAATAAAATAGAAGATAAAAAAATAATTAGGCGCTTTCAAAGTTTTTAGTTAAAATATCGATATAATACACAAAGTAACCTACGTCATTGTTTCTTTCTCTAACACACTTTCTTTGTTGTAACAAAATCTTTTTTTATTTAGTAATACATAGTTCGAGAAGAATAAAAGTTATAATTTTAATGAAATAGTTTGAAATATTTTTTTATCTGCCCAATAAAATAAATAGAAGATAAAAAATAATTAGGCGCTTTCAAAGTTTTTAGTTAACATATCGATATGAAATATCGATAATAATACACAAAGGAACCTACGTCATTGTTTCTTTCTCTAACACACTTTCTTTGTTGTAACAAAGTCTTTTTTTATTTTGTACTTAATACATAGTTCGAGAAGAATAAAAGTTATAATTTTGAGGAAATAGTTTGAAATATTTTTTTATTTGCCCAATAAAATAAAATAGAAGATAAAAAAATAATTAGGCTCTTTGAAAAAGATTGTCGGAAATCTTGTAAACGTAATCATGTATATTTTTTGTTAAATGTTCCGCATTTTGTCTTGCTTGTAAAACCTGTTCTGACGATAATTTATTTTTATATAGGCCGTTCTCCTCGCCGTTGTAGGCGCTGCTTCAGCTGGACTCGCTCCGGTCCTCCTTCCCAAAGTCAACGTCGCCCCGACCCAGGTCAACGTTGTCAGACAGCCCGTCACCGTGACGCAGCCAGAGCTCGTCTACAGGAACGTTCCCGTGCCAGTTAAGGCCGTTGCATACACCAACCCCGTCGTTTCCACCCCAGTAGTCGCCGCCCCCGTAGTCGCTGCTTACGCCGCTCCCTACGCCCACGCTCCTTTGACCACCTTTTGGTGATTTTTTCAATCCTAAATAAATACAATTTAAAAAACGGTTCTCTTTTGTTTCTTTTATTATTAATATTAATTAACGCTACAAAGATCAACTATCCTTCAAACCTATTCAGTCTCCCCTTGCAATGCAGGAGAATCGAACGAAACAGCTAGTTGCTGTCTACTCACCAAATTAGTGTACTGGCTGATAAGGTACCGATTCCCAGCATACCTCGTCAAACTAGTGCACTCATACCTTAGCAATCGGTTTTTCCGAGTCACCCTCAACGAAGCGATTTCTCCCCCTTTTAGCATAGCAGCAGGCGTGCCACAGGGATCAATCTTGGGACCATATCTACAATACAATTAAATTCTGTCAAGCAACACTGTTCGCAGATGATATAGCGCTTCAATCTTCCTCCTAGAGACAATGCGGCATTACGAACAGGCTGAACAACAAAATAAAAAAAATAAGTCGCTTCTGTCTAAGGTGGAAGCTACAGATTAACGTTCCAAAATGTGAGGCGATCCTATTCACAAAGAGGCGCCCCTCAATAAGATCAACAGTTAACATTAATGGAACTCTCATCTCATGGTCAGAAAAGGTAAGCTACCTATGCTTAATTTTAGATAGAAAATATCACTTTGACCCTAATATAAAAAATAGGATCGCAAAAGCCAAACTAGCCATCAGAATTCCCACAATTGGCTAATGAATCAGGGTTGTCAATGCAGTAATAATCGCCTTATTTATAAGGCGGTTTTCGAACCCATGCTGCATTACGCATGTCCTGTATGGAGTTTTACATGCAAAACATATCTGCTAAAAATAAAAAGGATGCAGAACAAATTCTTAAGCCTAGTCACATCATCTCGCAGACGAACCAGAATAGACCAACTCCACAACGAATCTGACATATCTTGGATTTACGACGCGGTGAATGCGCAAGTGGCGTCATTCCTTAGGGAGACTCTAAACACAAAAGAGGGAAAGGAAGAAAATAGTCACCGATCATTTCGGTCTGCCTATCTTAGCTGGGTTTGCCTATCAGACGCGCTTCGGCATTTCGCCATCTTCAGTGTGTCTCCTCAGACAAAGCGACCCCGCAAGCCTTGGATATTAAAAATATACACTGGGCCACCAACCTAGCTCGCAGTGAGGTTGATTACTTAAACAAGAAACTCTCTAGGCTGTATAGTTAATTTTTTTCTAGATTGGCCTGGTCTGCGAGATGATTAACTGAAATTTGGTCGTTACCGATAATTGTGGATTTTCTATCCTCGCTGGGTGGTCTGACAGTTTGAGTTGACTGAACCCAAACTCTAACACTGAAGATGGTGGAATGCCGAACCAAGATAGCAAAAGGACATATTTTAAAATTAAAAACATATTAGTTCATACTAATCCAGCATAAACCCTAAACGGATTTAGAAATAGCTTCATTGCTTTTATGAATATAGTCTGAAAAACATTAAATTTATTTAACGACTGTAAATTACAGGTCTATATTTACATACGTGCTAATTTAAATACAAACCAAATTGGAAAAGGGTCCTTGTAACTAAACAATCTGAAATGGGTAAACCAGGATGGTAAATTTGCATCGGCTTGCCAGGAGAAGAAGTGGACATTGAAAGTAAAAGCGGCCTCGGAATGTGTCGTGAGAGAAGCCTGACCTAAGATCTTCCTCTTCCACTTAAACCGACAGCCTAATTGACTTATATAGCCGTTTCTGAAAAGATTTCCAGTTGATTTCTTGTTTGATTAGTTATTACTAGCAAATATGTGTGCAGGTGGAATGAGGAAGACATACACCATGTAGACCTTTTAACCTATTTATTTAAAACTATCTTAATGGCCTCGTTATAAGATCGTAGTTTTAAATACAACGGTTTCATATTATATTTAAAATACTTACGATTTTTGCAAGAAAACCATGAAGTGAATCCACTATTTACTCCAGTAACATAGGATATGTCCCGATGTCTCTGCTGTTTCATGAAAGAATTGGCGAGTTTCTGTTTAAGTTATTCCCATTTTAAAAGGTGGTAAATAAATGAGCAATGACCAGAATAAAGACCTATTATTTTCTTTAATTTTTGCTTTCTATGGGTAGATTTTAAAAATTATGGTTGAGATGTTGAGAAACGTGTGGTGGTTAGTGACCGTTAATCGATAATTATTCAGAAATCGTGAGATGCGGTCTGGTGTGATGCAGGTTTCAGAAAAACATTTTCTTTATCGTGTCAACGTTTCGATCTTTATTGAGATCATCTTCAGGACTCAAAGTGTTTGTCTTCTGTGTAATTGTGCCATTCTTGCTGTGCTGAATGATTATGTTGAGAAACATTGTTTTGAATTTTTCACGTGGTTAAATCATCTCATGTACGGTAATTTCTTTCTACGCCCAATTGTTCAGTACCCCTTCTAAAATCCCTTTGGACGTTCCAAGTTGCAGTTCTGGTCAAAAAGGTGTGAGACTGCTCCCGTTTTTCTAGTCTGTCAGCCTAACCGTTCCCTCAATAGCCTCATGCGCTGGCACTAAATCATAGTACCTAGAGGTAGCTTTTAGTTGAAGCTTGATCGTTCGGTCTTGACTGTTCAGCGTGAACCGTCAGTGGAACAAATGGATTGACTTCCATAACTGATGTTTAAAAGTAAAATGAATTGAAAGGGAACCGAACTCATTCAAAGACGCCAAACCTTCAGTGATTTGGATTACGAATGAATGAATAATATGGTTTATTGTACAATAAATAATTTTTTTTAAAAGATATATTTTTCAAAGCATGAATGATAATGGCAGAGGCGTCTGTCGAGTTGCCGCTAAATTACTAAATCAGTTTATATATTTAATTAATTTTTTTACACTTTTTTTATTATTGAAATTTGCAAACATATATCTTCTATATTCCAAAGCTCGTGCGAGAAATTTTATTGTATAAACCCAAACAATTCCGCCATTGTATATTTACTACCTCGATTGTATCTAATTGTGCTTTCCTATGTATATCTTCCTGAACTCGCCTAGCACTGGACATTTAACCAAAAAGTGCACAGTGTCCTCTGGAACACTGAGATTGCACATTGAGCAAGTAAAATTCAAATCGCTCCTCCAAGGCTGGCAGTTCAGTTGCAAGAGTTCTCCCTTCGCTTTAAACCGTAATGACTTGTTATAAATATTAATATTTTTGTTTATATATTGGTTATCTTGGTCTAAGCCTAAACTTGCATATAATCTATGGTAAACATTATCCCTAGCAATTAATTAAGGTTTTGGTTGAGATAGAAAAGTGAGGGTCACAAGCGGGATTCGAACCCACGGCCTTCGGCTAAATAGATTACACGGCATTTGAAAAATGGCAAAAAGGAGGGAAAATTCGAAAGGTGGGTTGAGATGGGAAGTTGGTGTCCGAGTGGATTGAGGTCACGATAGCTCAAGTGGTAGAGCAGCGGCGTATTTAGCCGAAGGTCGTGGGTTCGAATTCCGCTTGTGACACTGACTTTTTTAACTCAACCAAAACCTTAATTAATTGTAATATATTAATTGGTCAAGCGGACCACGAAACCTAATAAAAATTCATCCCTAGCCCTAGTCACTATATCATTCCTTAGTTTCGACTCTAGATTGTTTAGCAAACTGCCTTCCTATTTCCGAAAGATATTTAAACCATGATATTTGTTTTGTTATTATCTCATTGGCTAGGAAATGTGATAATCTACTTGGGGGGGGGGGATTTGCACATCTTGCTAATGTGCTGTAAATGCAGGTTCATTGTATGAATATAAAGCGGAGTGATTTAAGTTTCAATATAAATCAACACAGTAAATCTCAATCTCAATAAACAAATAACACAATCTGGAGTGTTAGCTGGAAGGTAAAACAAATTTTTGATAAAATAATTCTGAATCATATCAAATATCTCCTGACTTGGCTGAATTGGTGATCCAATTATTATATTGGTCTGGCAAATCGAACAGCGAGAACAGGAAGGCCAAGGTAATTGGAAATAACAAATCTACCGGTTCATCATCCCATAGACCTACCTCACATCTCACAATAATTGCTGAGTACAAGAGTCAGAATCACGAGCGGGATTCGAACCCTTCGACTAGATACGCCGCTGCTCTACCACACTGAGCTATCGTGACCTAGATCCACTCGGACACTAACTTCCCATCTCAACCTCACCTCTCGAATTTTCCCTCCTTTTTTTGCCATTTTTTAAAAGTCATGTAATCTATTCGATTCTCGGCGACAAATGAAATGGCCACGGAGAGCTTTCGTGAAGATTTTTCAAGAAATAGTGATAGTTCAAGTGATTGAAATTACGATAGCTCAAGTGGTAGAGCAGCGGCGTATCTAGCCGAAGGTCGTGGGTTCGAATCTCGCTCGTATCACTGACTCTTTTATCTCAACTAAAAACCTTAATTCATTGCAAGATATTAATTTGGGCAAGTTGTCCAAGAGGGTAAAAAGTCACCCAGTGAAGCCAGAGAATTTGCAGGGATTAAGAATGGCGCTGTATTCTATGGAATATTTCACAGCACTACTCATTTTAACTTATAAAATTCACTAGTTTTCGTGGTCCGCTTGACCAATTAATATATTTCAATTAATTAAAATTTTTAGTAGAGATAAACAAAGTCAGTGTCACGAGCGGGTTTCGAACCCACGATCTTCGGCTAGATACGCCGCTGCTCTACCACTTGAGCTATCGTGACTTCGATCCACTCGGATACTAACTTCCCATCTCAACCCCACCTCTCGAATTTTCCCACCTTTTTTTTTGCCATTTTTTAAAAGTCATAAAATCTATTCGATTCTGGGCGACAAATGAAATGGCCACGGAGAGCTTTCGTGAAGATATACTTCAGTAATTATTAAATCCATTACAGTTCGTGGTCCGATCGAAGTCACGATAGCTCAAGTGGTCGAGCGATGTATTTAGCCGAAGGTCGTGTGTTCGAATTCCACCCGTGACGCTGACTTTTTTTTCTCAAACAATGCCTTTCATAAATATTAATTAATTGAAAAACCTTAATTGGTCAATCGTACCAC